TAAAAATAGACCATTAAAGAGTCCAGAGTCATCTACCATTTTCTGTTTGGCACATGGAATCTTAAATTTTTCAACTCTTTTGACATATTTTTCTTTGAAATGCTATAATGTCCACATGGTTTGTGGAATTCATTTTTCCCTGATCTTCATCTGGTGTTAGTAAGTGTTTTGATTGGTATCTTGGACCTTGACATTTTTCATCTGGCCATTGGAATTAGGATTTGCCTTGGTGTCTGTGACTTGTAAACGTTTTATTTGGCTTCTGGGACCCTGAATTTGCCTCCTTGTATCATAATTACAAATGTTTTTATGGGTGTCTGAATTGCACATTTTTTTGTTTGGTGCTAAGGAATTACACTTTAAAAAAAAAACAGGTATTGAGAGCCCTTCCCACATATTCTACTAGGCAAATAAAAACTTTAAATTGATTGATTTTTGCTTTGGTATAAAAAATTCCCTTTGTATATAAATATAAATACTCCACTGTGTCTTGAGAGGAACAGAATTCCACTGGGCAACTAGAAATTCAAATTTTGCACTTTGTGTTGGGATCATCATAGCATTCCCACTGGAGTTTGGCTATGTATTTCGTTTGGCTGATAAAAAAATAATTCTATTTGGTGTCTACAAAAGCAAATGTTCCACTTGGAGTCCATAATGACAAGTGTTCCACTTAGTGTCAGGGTAACACAATTTTCCATTTGGGTTGTGTTGTGAAATTGATCTTTAGCTATCTGGAGATTATTCCCTTGAGTTTCCAGAGAGGTAAATGTTTCATGTGGTTCTTGACTAGGTAAAGACTGCACAAGAAGTGTGGTGAAAGGAGCCATCCCCTTGATGTCTAGAAGTTGGAAGCATTGGACCTGGAGACTCAGTAATGCCATTGCCAGGACATGCAAATCGTTCTTTTGGGACCTGCCTTCCACTTGGTTTCAGAAAACAAGCTTGCCTGAGGGATCCCAGGGACCAAAGCCCCCGACCAGGAGGCAGAACCTAAGCCTCAAGCTTTTTACCAGGAGGCAAGAGAGACCCAAGCCTCCCACCGGGAGCCACGGGACCCAAGTCTTCCAATGGGAGCCAAGGAACCCCAAGTCTCTCAACGGGATACAAGGGACCCGAGCCTCCCACCGAGAGCCGGGAACCAAGCCTCCCACCGAGAGCCGGGAACCAAGCATCCCACCCGGGAGCCGGGAACCAAGACTCCCACCGGGAGCTGGGAACCACAAAAGTCCCTACCCTTCCCCTGGCAGCCAAGGGACCACTCCGCTGGGAGTCAGAAACCAAGCCTCCCACTAGGACCTAGGAACCAAGCCCCAATCCTTCCACTGGAAGTCAAGGGACTTCCCACTGGGATCCAGGACCCAAGGCTCCAGTCAATAGCCAGGAACCAAGTCTCAAGCCTCTCCTTGGGAGCCAGGCCATAGCTCAAGCCTCAAGACTTCCCCTGGGAACCAAGGGATCCACGTCGGCCACCAGGAGCCAGCACCCAGGCCTTGCACCAGAATCCAGGACCAAGGACCCAGCACCCAGGAGCCAGGTCTTACGCCAAGAATCTGCACCCAGGTCTTCCACCAAGAGCCAGAACCTTGAACCAGGACCAAGGACCTAGCACCCAGGAGCCAGGCCTTCCACTAAGACCCAGGACTCAGCACCCAGGAGCCCTACATTCTACCAGGACCCAGGACCAAGAACCCAGGAGCCAGTCCTTCCACCAGGAAGGACCCAGGCCTTCCACCAGGAGCCAGGCCTTGAACTAGGACCAAGGACCCAGGCCTTCCAGGACCCAGGACCCAGGCCATGCACCAGGAGTCAGCACGCTGGCCTTCTACCAGGACCCAGGACCAGGACCCAGGCCTTGCACCAGGAGCCAGGACCCAGGCCTTCCACCAGGACCAAGAATCCAGGACTCAGGATCCAGGCTCTGCACTGGGACTCAGGACCCAGGCCCTGCACCAGGACTCGGGACCCAGGCCTTGAACCAGGAGCCAGCACCCAGGCCTTGCACTAGGAGCCAGGACCCAGGCCTTGCACCAGGAGCCAGGATCCAGGACCCAGGCCTTGTACCAGAAGACAGGAGTCAGCACCCAGGCCTTGAACCAGGAGCCAGCACCCAGGCCTTCCACTAGGAGCCAGCACCTACAACCGAGGCCTTCCACCAGGAACCAAGACCCAGGACCCAGGAATCTGACCTTGACCTAGGACCCAGGACCCATGCCCTTTCACTGGGAGCCAGGACCCAGGTATTGTACCAGGACCAGGGATTCAGGACCCAGGAACCAGGCCTTGCACCAAGAACACTAGTTAGGACCTATGCCTTCTACCAGGAGCCAGGAGTCAGGACCAAGGCCTTCCACCAGGAGCCAGGAGTCAGTACCAAGGCCTTCCACCAGGAACCAGAACCCAGGAATCTGGCCTTGAACTGGGACCCAGGACCCATGCCCTTTCACCATGAGCAAGACCAAGGACCCAGGACCCAGGTATTGTACCAGGACCAAGGATCCAGGACCCAGGACCCAGGCCTTCCACCAGGAGCCAGGACCCAGGACTCAGGACCCAGGCCTTGCACCAGGAGCCAGGACCCGGGCCTTCCACCAGGACCCAGGAATCTGGCCTCGAACTAGGACCCAGGACCCATGTCCTTTCACCAGGAGCCAGGAGCCAGGACCCAGGTATTGTACCAGCACCCAGGTCTTCCACCAGGAGTCAGCACCCAGGCCTTGCACCAGGAGCCAGGAGTCAAGACCCAGGCCTTCCACTGGGAACCAAGAACCAGGCCCCAGGAATTTGGCCTTGAACTAGGACCCAGTACCCATGCCCTTTCACCAGGAGTCAGGACCAAGGTCACAGGACCCAGAACCCAGGCCTTCCATCATTAGTCAAGACCAAGGCCTTGCACCAGGAGCCAGGAGTCAGATCCAGGCCTTCCATCAGGAGCCAGGAGCCAGGACCCAGGCCTTCCATCAGGAGCCAGGACCCAGGACCCAGGCCTTGCACCAGGAGCCAGGACCTAGAACCCAGGACCCAGGCCTTCCATCAGGAGCCAGGAGTCAGGACCCAGGCCTTGCATCAGGAGCCAGCACCTAGAACCTAGGACCCAGGCCTTCCATCAGGAGCTAAGACTCAGGACCCAGGCCTTCCAACAGGAGCCAGGAGTCAGGACCCAGGCCTTCCATCAGGAGCCAAGACTCAGGACCCAGGCTTCCACCAGGAGCCAGGAGTCAGGATCCACGCCTTCCATCAGGAGCCAGGAGCCAGGAGCCAGGACCCAGGCCTTGCACCAGGAGCCAGGAGCCAGGACCCAGGCCTTGCACCAGGAGCCAGGAGCCAGGACCCAGGCCTTGAGCCAGGACCCAGGCCTTGCACCAGGAGCTAGGAGCCAGGACCCAGGCCTTGCACCAGGAGCCAGGAGCCAGGCCTTGCACCAGGAGCCAGGACCCGGGCCTTCCACCAGGACCCAGGAATCTGGCCTCGAACTAGGACCCAGGACCCATGCCCTTTCACCAGGAGCAAGGACCCAGGACCCAGGACCCAGGTATTGTACCAGCACTCAGGTCTTCCGCCAGGAGTCAGCACCCAGGCCTTGCGCCAGCACCCAGGAATCTGGCCTCGAACTAGGACCCAGGACCCAGACCTTGCACTAGGAGCCAGGAGTCAGGACCCAGGCCTTCCACCAGGACCCAGGAATCTGGCCTCGAACTAGGACCCAGGACCCATGTCCTTTCACCAGGAGCCAGGAGCCAGGACCCAGGTATTGTACCAGCACCCAGGTCTTCCACCAGGAGTCAGCACCCAGGCCTTGCACCAGGAGCCAGGAGTCAAGACCCAGGCCTTCCACTGGGAACCAAGAACCAGGCCCAGGAATTTGGCCTTGAACTAGGACCCAGTACCCATGCCCTTTCACCAGGAGTCAGGACCAAGGTCACAGGACCCAGAACCCAGGCCTTCCATCATTAGTCAAGACCAAGGCCTTGCACCAGGAGCCAGGAGTCAGATCCAGGCCTTCCATCAGGAGCCAGGAGCCAGGACCCAGGCCTTCCATCAGGAGCCAGGACCCAGGCCTTGCACCAGGAGCCAGGACCTAGAACCCAGGACCCAGGCCTTCCATCAGGAGCCAGGAGTCAGGACCAGGCCTTGCATCAGGAGCCAGCACCTAGAACCTAGGACCCAGGCCTTCCATCAGGAGCTAAGACTCAGGACCCAGGCCTTCCAACAGGAGCCAGGAGTCAGGACCCAGGCCTTCCATCAGGAGCCAAGACTCAGGACCCAGGCCCTCCACCAGGAGCCAGGAGTCAGGATCCACGCCTTCCATCAGGAGCCAGGAGCCAGGAGCCAGGGAGCCAGACCCAGGCCTTGCGCACCAGGAGCCAGGAGCCAGGACCCAGGCGCTTGCACCAGGAGCCAGGAGCCAGGACCAGGACCCAGGCCCTTGCACCAGGAGCTAGGAGCCAGGACCCAGGCCTTGCACCAGGAGCAGGAGCCAGGCCTTGCACCAGGAGCCAGGACCCGGGCCTTCCACCAGGACCAGGAATCTGGCCTCGAACTAGGACCCAGGACCCATGCCCTTTCACCAGGAGCAAGGACCCAGGACCCAGGACCCAGGTATTGTACCAGCAACTCAGGTCTTCCGCCAGGAGTCAGCACCCAGGCCTTGCGCCAGCACCAGGAATCTGGCCTCGAACTAGGACCCAGGACCCAGACCTTGCACTAGGAGCCAGGAGTCAGGACCCAGGCCTTCCACCAGGACCCAGGAATCTGGCCTCGAACTAGGACCCAGGACCCATGCCCTTTCACCAGGAGCAAGGACCCAGGACCCAGGACCCAGGTATTGTACCAGCACTCAGGTCTTCCGCCAGGAGTCAGCCCCAGGCCTTGCGCCAGCACCCAGGAATCTGGCTCGAACTAGGACCCAGGACCCAGACCTTGCACTAGGAGCCAGGAGTCAGGACCCAGGCCTTCCACCAGGACCCAGGAATCTGGCCTCGAACTAGGACCCAGGACCCATGTCCTTTCACCAGGAGCCAGGAGCCAGGACCCAGGTATTGTACCAGCACCCAGGTCTTCCACCAGGAGTCAGCACCCAGGCCTTGCACCAGGAGCCAGGAGTCAAGAACCCAGGCCTTCCACTGGGAACCAAGAACCAGGCCGCCCAGGAATTTGGCCTTGAACTAGACCCAGTACCCATGCCCTTTCACCAGGAGTCAGGACCAAGGTCACAGGACCCAGAACCCAGGCCTTCCATCATTAGTCAAGACCAAGGCCTTGCACCAGGAGCCAGGAGTCAGATCCAGGCCTTCCATCAGGAGCCAGGAGCCAGGACCCAGGCCTTCCATCAGGAGCCAGGACCCAGGACCCAGGCCTTGCACCAGGAGCCAGGACCTAGAACCCAGGACCCAGGCCTTCCATCAGGAGCCAGGAGTCAGGACCCAGGCCTTGCATCAGGAGCCAGCACCTAGAACCTAGGACCCAGGCCTTCCATCAGGAGCCAGGACCCAGGATCCACGCCTTCCATCAGGAGCCAGGATCCAGGACCCAGGACTGAGGCCTTCTACCAGGAGTCAGCACCCAGGCCTTGTACCAGGAGCCAAGACTCAGAACGCAGGCCTTGCACCAGGAGCCAGGAGCCAGGACCCGGGCCTTGCACCAGGAGCCAGGACCCGGGCCTTCCACCAGGACCCAGGAATCTGGCCTCGAACTAGGACCCAGGACCCATGCCCTTTCACCAGGAGCAAGGACCCAGGACCCAGGTATTGTACCAGCACTCAGGTCTTCCGCCAGGAGTCAGCACCCAGGCCTTGCGCCAGCACCCAGGAATCTGGCCTCGAACTAGGACCCAGGACCCAGACCTTGCACTAGGAGCCAGGAGTCAGGACCCAGGAGTCTGGCCTCGAACTAGGACCCAGGATCCATGTCCTTTCACCAGGAGCAAGGACCCAGGACCCAGGTATTGTACCAGCACCCAGGTCTTCCACCAGGAGTCAGCACCCAGGCCTTGCACCAGGAGCCAGGAGTCAAGACCCAGGCCTTCCACTGGGAACCAAGAACCAGGCCCCAGGAATTTGGCCTTGAACTAGGACCCAGTACCCATGCCCTTTCACCAGGAGTCAGGACCAAGGTCACAGGACCCAGAACCCAGGCCTTCCATCATTAGTCAAGACCAAGGCCATGCACCAGGAGCCAGGAGTCAGATCCAGGCCTTCCATCAGGAGCCAGGAGCCAGGACCCAGGCCTTCCATCAGGACCCAGGACCCAGGCCTTCCATCAGGAGCCAGGACCCAGGACCCAGGCCTTGCATCTGGAGCCAGGACCCAGGACCCAGGCCTTCCATCAGGAGCCAGGACCCAGGACCCAGGCCTTCCATCAGGAGCCAGGACCCAGGATCCACGCCTTCCATCAGGAGCCAGGATCCAGGACCCAGGACCCAGGCCTTCTACCAGGAGTCGGCACCCAGGCCTTGTACCAGGAGCCAGGAGCCAGGAGCCAGGACCCGGGCCTTCCACCAGGACCCAGGAATCTGGCCTCGAACTAGGACCCAGGACCCATGCCCTTTCACCAGGAGCAAGGACCCAGGACCCAGGACCCAGGTATTGTACCAGCACTCAGGTCTTCCGCCAGGAGTCAGCACCCAGGCCTTGCACCAGCACCCAGGAATCTGGCCTCGAACTAGGACCCAGGACCCAGACCTTGCACTAGGAGCCAGGAGTCAGGACCCAGGCCTTCCACCAGGACCCAGGAATCTGGCCTCGAACTAGGACCCAGGACCCATGTCCTTTCACCAGGAGCCAGGAGCCAGGACCCAGGTATTGTACCAGCACCCAGGTCTTCCACCAGGAGTCAGCACCCAGGCCTTGCACCAGGAGCCAGGAGTCAAGACCCAGGCCTTCCACTGGGAACCAAGAACCAGGCCCCAGGAATTTGGCCTTGAACTAGGACCCAGTACCCATGCCCTTTCACCCGGAGTCAGGACCAAGGTCACAGGACCCAGAACCCAGGCCTTCCATCATTAGTCAAGACCAAGGCCATGCACCAGGAGCCAGGAGTCAGATCCAGGCCTTCCATCAGGAGCCAGGAGCCAGGACCCAGGCCTTCCATCAGGAGCCAGGACCCAGGCCTTGCACCAGGAGCCAGGACCCAGGACCCAGGCCTTGCATCAGGAGCCAGCACCTACAACCCAGGACCCAGGCCTTCCATCAGGAGCCAGGAGTCAGGACCCAGGCCTTGCATCAGGAGCCAGCACCTAGAACCCAGGACCCAGGCCTTGCATCTGGAGCCAGGAGTCAGGACCCAGGCCTTGTACCAGGAGCCAAGACCTAGGACCCAGGACCCAGGCCTCGCACCAGGAGCCAAGAGTCAGCACCCAGACCTTGCACCAGGAGCCAGGCCTTCCATCAGGACCCAGGACCCAGGTGTTGTACCAGGACCAAACACCCAGGAGTCAAGACCCAGGCCTTGCACCAGGAGCCAGGACTCGGGACCTAGGCCTTGTACCAGGACCCAGGCCTTCCACCAGGAGCCAGGAAACAGGACCCAGGAATCTGGCCTTGAACTAGGACCCAGGACCCATGCCCTTTCACCAGGAGCCAGGACCAAGGACCTAGGCATTGTACTAGGACCAAGGATCCAGGACCCAGGACCCAGTCCTTGCACCAGGAGTCAGGACCCAGGCCTTCCAACAGGAACCAGGACCCAAGAATCTGGCCTTGAACTAACTAGGACCCAGGACCCATGCCCTTTCATTAGGACCCAGGTATTGTACCAGGATCCAGGACCCAGGATCCAGGCCTTCCACCTGGAGTCAAGACCCAGGCCTTCCATCAGGAGCCAGGAGTCAGGACCCAGGCCTTGTACCAGGAACAAGGATCCAGGACCTAGGACCAAGGCCTTCATCAGCAGCCAGCACCGAGGACCCATGCCCTTTCACCAGGAGCCAGGACCCAGGACCCAGGACCCATACCCTTTCACCAGGAGCCAGGACCAAGGACCCAGGACCTTTCACCAGGAGCCTGGACCAAGCACCCAGGATCCAGGTCTTGTACCAGGACCAAGGATCCAGGACCCAGGACCAAGGCCTTCATCAGAAGCCAACACCAAGGACCCAGGCTTTGCACCAGCATCCAGGAGCCAGGACCCATGCCCTTTCACCAGGAGGCAGGACCAAGGACCCAGGATCCAGGTATTGTACCAGGACCAAGAATCCAGGATCCAGGAGTCAGGACTCAGGCCTCTCATCGGGAGCCAGGAGTCAGGACCCAGGCCTTCTACCAGGAGCCAGCCCTAGGACCAAGGCCTTCCACCAGGAACCAGGACCCAGCACCTAGGCCCTTTCTCCAGGAGCCAGGACCAAGGACCCAGAATCTAGGCCTTGTACCAGGACCAAGGATCCAGGAGCCAGGAGTCAGGACCCAGACCTTGCATCAGGAGCCAGGACCCAGGATCCAGCCTTTCCACCAGTACTCAGGACCCAGAACCCAGGGCTTCCCACCAGGAGCCAAGACCCAGGATCTAGGCCTTGTAGCAGGACCAAGGACCCAGGACCCAGGACCAAGGCTTTGTACCAGGAGCCAGCACCCAGGAGCCAGGACTCAGGCCTTCCACCAGGAGTCAGGACAAAGTACCTAGGCCTTGTACCAGGAACAAGGATCCAGAACCTAGTACAAGGCCTTCTACCAGGAGCCAGCACCTAGGACCAACGCTTTCCACTAGGAACCAGGACTGAGTAATCTGGTCTTGAACTAGGACCCAGGACCAAGGATCCAGGACCCAGGCCTTCCACCAGGAGCCAGCTCCTAGGACCAAGGCCTTCCACCAGGAACCAGGAACCAGGACCCAGGAATCTGGCCTTGAACTAGGATCCAGGACCCATGCCCTTTCACCAGGAGCCAGGAGTCAGAACCCAGGCCTTGCACCAGGAACTAGGAAGGATGACCTAGGACTCAGGCATTCCACCAGGGGCCAGGACCCAGGATCCATGCCTTCCACCAGGAGGTAGGACAAAGGACCCAGGAACCAAGCCTTCTACCAAGAGCCAGGATGGATGACTTAGGACCCAGGCCTTCCACCAGGAGTCAGGACACAGGAACCTACACCTAGGCCTTCCACCAGGAACTAGAACCTAGGATCCAGGCTCCAGGCATTCTACTAGGTCCCAGGATCCAGGACCCAGAGCTTCCACCAGGACCCAGTACCCAGGCCTTGCACCAGGAGCCAGCACCCAGGCATTGCACCAGGAACCAGGACCCAGGATCCAGGACTCAGACCTTGTACCGGGACCCAGGACCCAGGACCCAGGCCTTGCACCAGGAACCAGGAGTCAGGACCCAAGCCTTGCACCAGGAACCAGGACCCAGGAGCCAGGACTTCCACCAGGAGTCAGAACCTAGGACCGAACCAAGGACTGAGGATCCAGGCCCTTTTACTAGGAGGCAGGACCAAGTACCCAAGATCCAGGACCCAGGACCCAGGTCTTCCAACAGGAGCTAGGAGTCAGTACCCACTAGGAACCAGGAGTCAGGACCCAGGCCTTCTACCAAGAGCCAGCACCCAGGAGCCAGGATGGAGGACCCAGGACCCAGGCTGTCTACCAGGAGCCAAGACCAAGGACCTTCCACTAGGACTCAGGACCTACCATCTAGGCCTTCCACCCGAAGCCAGGACCAAAGACCCAGGCCTTCAACGAGGACCTAGGACCCAGGCCTTCTACTAGGAGCAGGATGGAGAACCCAGGACCCAGGACTTCTACCAAGAGCCAGAATGGATGACCTAGGACCCAGGCCTTCTACCAGGACCCAAGCCCCAGGATCTAAGCCTTAGGACTTCCATAAGCCAGGACCCAGGACCCAAGCTTCAGGCTTTAGGACTTCTACCAGGACACAGGACCCAACATCCCAGCCTCAGGACTTCCACCAGGACCTAAGCCTCAGACCTTCCACTGGGAGCCAGGACCCAGGACCCAAGCCTCAGATCTTTCACTGGGAGCCAGAAGCCAGGACTCAGGCCTTCTAGGAACCAGGAACTAGGACCCCAACCCTCAGGCCTTCCACCAGGAGTCAGGACCCAGGACCCAAGTCTCAGGCTTTCCACCAGGACTCAAGACCCTAGGACCCAAGACCCCATCCTCAGGCCTTCCACCAGGACCCAAGCCTCAGACCTTCCACTGGGAGCCAGGACCCAGGACTCAGGCCTTCTGGAACCGGAACTAGGACCCCAACCCTCAGGCCTTCCACCAGGAGTCAGGACCCAGGACCCAAGTCTCAGGCTTTCTACCAGGACTCAAGACCCTAGGACCCAAGACCCATCCTCAGGCCTTCCACTAGGACCCAGTGCCCAGGACCCCAAGCCTCAGTTTCCACCAGGACTCAAGACCCCATCCTCAGGCCTTCCACCAGGAGTCAGGACCCAGGACCCAAGTCTCAGGCTTTCCATCAGGACTCAAGATCCTAGGACCCAAGAGCCCATCCTCAGGCCTTCCACCAGGATCCAAGCCTCAGACCTTCCACTGGGAGCCAGGACCCAGGACTCAGGCCTTCTAGGAACCAGGAACTAGGACCCCAACCCTCAGGCCTTCCACCAGGAGTCAGGACCCAGGACCCAGGACCCAAGTCTCAGGCTTTCCACCAGGACTCAAGACCCTAGGACCCAAGACCCCATCCTCAGGCCTTCTACTAGGACCCAATGCCCAGGACCCCAACCCTCAGCTTCCACCAGGACTCAAGAGCCTGTCCTCAGGCCTTCCACCAGGAGTCAGGACCCAGGATCCAAGTCTCAGGGTTTCCACCAGGACTCAAGACCCTAGGACCCAAGACCCCATCCTCATGCCTTCCACCAGGACCCAAGTCTCAGACCTTCCACTGGGAGCCAGGACCCAGGACTCAGGCCTTCTGGAACCGGAACTAGGACCCCAACCCTCAGGCCTTCCACCAGGAGTCAGGACCCAGGACCCAAGTCTCAGGCTTTCCATCAGGACTCAAGATCCTAGGACCCAAGAGCCCATCCTCAGGCCTTCCACCAGGACCCAAGCCTCAGACCTTCCACTGGGAGCCAGGACCCAGGACTCAGGCCTTCTAGGAACCAGGAACTAGGACCCCAACCCTCAGGCCTTCCACCAGGAGTCAGGACCCAGGACCGAAGTCTCAGGCTTTCCACCAGGACTCAAGACCCTAGGACCCAAGACCCCATCCTCAGGCCTTCCACTAGGACCCAGTGCCCAGGACCCCAAGCCTCAGCTTCCACCAGGACTCAAGACCCCATCCTCAGGCCTTCCACCAGGAGTCAGGACCCAGGACCTAAGTCTCAGGCTTTCCATCAGGACTCAAGATCCTAGGACCCAAGACCCCATCCTCAGGCCTTCTACCAGGACCCAAGCCCCAGACCTTCCACTGGGAGCAAGGACCCAGGACTCAGGCCTTCTAGGAACCAGGAACTAGGACCCCAACCCTCAGGCCTTCCACCAGGAGTCAGGACCCAGGACCGAAGTCTCAGGCTTTCCACCAGGACTCAAGACCCTAGGACCCAAGACCCCATCCTCAGGCCTTCCACTAGGACCCAATGCCCAGGACCGCAAGCCTCAGCTTCCACCAGGACTCAAGAGCCCGTCCTCAGGCCTTCCACCAGGAGTCAGGACCCAGGACCCAAGTCTCAGGCTTTCCACCAGGACTCAAGACCCTAGGACCCAAGACCCCATCCTCAGGCCTTCCACCAGGAGTCAGGACCCAGGACCCAAGTCTCAGGCTTTCCACCAGGACTCAAGACCCTAGGACCCAAGACCCCATCCTCAGGCCTTCCACTAGGACCCAATGCCCAGGACCGCAAGCCTCAGCTTCCACCAGGACTCAAGAGCCCGTCCTCAGGCCTTCCACCAGGAGTTAGGACCCAGGGCCCAAGTCTCAGGCTTTCCACCAGGAATCAAGATCCTAGGACCTAAGACCCCATCCTCAGGCCTTCCACTAGGACCCAATTCCCAGGACACCAAGCCTCAGCTTCCACCAGGACTCAAGAGCCCATCCTCAGGCCTTCCACCAGGAGCCAAGCCTCAGACCTTCCACTGGGAGCCAGGACCCAGGACTCAGGCCTTCTAGGAACCAGGAACTAGGACCCCAACCCTCAGGCCTTCCACCAGGAGTCAGGACCCAGGACCGAAGTCTCAGGCTTTCCACCAGGACTCAAGACCCTAGGACCCAAGACCCTAGCCTCAGGCCTTCCACTAGGACCCAATACCCAGGACCCCAACCCTCAGCTTCCACTAGGACCCAATGCCCAGGACTGCAAGCCTCAGCTTCCACCAGGACTCAAGACCCCAACCTCAGGCTTTCCACCAGGAATCAGGACCCAGAACCCAAGTCTCAGGCTTTCCACCAGGACTCAAGATCCTAGGATCCAAGACCCCATCCTCAGGCCTTCTACCAGGAGTCAGGACCCAGGACCCAAGTCTCAGGCTTTCCACCAGGACTCAAGACCCTAGGACCCAAGACCCCATCCTCAGGCCTTCCACTAGGACCCAATGCCCAGGACCCAAACCCTCAGCTTCCACTAGGACCCAATGCCCAGGACCGCAAGCCTCAGCTTCCACCAGGACTCAAGACCCCAACCTCAGGCTCTCCACCAGGAGTCAGGACCCAGGACCCAAGTCTCAGGCTTTCCACCAGGAATCAAGACCCTAGGACCCAAGACCCCATCCTCAGGCCTTCCACTAGGACCCAATGCCCAGGACCCCAAGCCTCAGCTTCCACCAGGACTCAAGACCCCACCTCAGGCCTGGCCCTTCCACCCAAGGAGTCAGGACCAGAGCACCAGGAGTCTAGGCTTTCCACCAGGACTCAAGACCCTAGGACCAAGACCCATCCTCAGGCCTTCCACTAGGACCCAATGCCCAGGACCCAAACCCTCAGCTTCCACTAGGACCCAATGCCCAGGACCGCAAGCCTCAGCTTCCACCAGGACTCAAGAGCCCATCCTCAGGCCTTCCACCAGGACCCAAGCCTCAGACCTTCCACTGGGAGCCAGGACCCAGGACTCAGGCCTTCTAGGAACCAGGAACTAGGACCCCAACCTCAGGCCTTCCACCAGGAGTCAGGACCCAGGACCGAAGTCTCAGGCTTTCCACCAGGACTCAAGACCTAGGACCCAAGACCTAGCCTCAGGCCTTCCACTAGGACCCAATACCCAGGACCCAACCTCAGCTTCCACTAGGACCCAATGCCCAGGACTGCAAGCCTCAGCTTCCACCAGGACTCAAGACCCCAACCTCAGGCTTTCCACCAGGAATCAGGACCCAGGACCCAAGTCTCAGGCTTTCCACCAGGACTCAAGATCCTAGGATCCAAGACCCCATCCTCAGGCCTCCTACCAGGAGTCAGGACCCAGGACCCAAGTCTCAGGCTTTCCACCAGGACTCAAGACCCTAGGACCCAAGACCCCATCCTCAGGCCTTCCACTAGGACCCAATGCCCAGGACCCAAACCCTCAGCTTCCACTAGGACCCAATGCCCAGGACCGCAAGCCTCAGCTTCCACCAGGACTCAAGACCCCAACCTCAGGCTCTCCACCAGGAGTCAGGACCCAGGACCCAAGTCTCAGGCTTTCCACCAGGAATCAAGACCCTAGGACCCAAGACCCCATCCTCAGGCCTTCCACTAGGACCCAATGCCCAGGACCCCAAGCCTCAGCTTCCACCAGGACTCAAGACCCCAACCTCAGGCTCTCCACCAGGAGTCAGGACCCAGGACCCAAGTCTCAGGCTTTCCACCAGGAATCAAGACCCTAGGACCCAAGATCCCAGCCTCAAGCCTTCCACTGGGACCCAATACCCAGGACCCAAGCCTCAGGCTTTCTACCAGGACTCAAGACCCTAGGACCCAAGACCCCATCCTCAGGCCTTCCACTAGGAGCCAGGACCCTGAACCCAAGCCCCAGGTCTTTCACCAGGAACCAGAAGTCAGGACCCAAGCTTTAGGCCTTGCCCCTGGAGCCAATACCCAGGACCCAAGCCTCAGGAGGCCTTCTACCAGGAGCCAGCACCCATGCCACAAAAGTTACACCTGGACCGAAGTGACAGAAGCCTTTACCTTGGAGTTAGTTGCAGTGAGAATTTCCTGGGAATCAGGATACATGAGTTCTACTTGCACTCCACATAGACCCCAGGACCTGAAATCAAGGACTGCACTGGTAAGTAGAGTGTGCATACTTCAAACTTGGAGTCCAGATACAACACAATCCACTGGGTGTCAGGAGAGACTAGCATCCTATTCAGAGTCTCAGGTAGCAATCATTCAACTTGGAATCAAGAAACACAAGTCCTCCATTTAATCAAGAGCAACAAGCTTTCTACAATAAGTCAAGACACAAAAATCCCACTTCAAGTCAGGGGCAATGTCTGGTGAGTATCCTTCTTGGTAAGTATTATTTAAATATCTCCCTTGTTTGCATACTAGTATTCTATTTAATTACAGGAGTTTCAAGGAGGCAGAAGCATCACACTTGAAGACAGGACACAAGCATTCTTCTTGGTGCTATGAGGCTCAAGGCTCCATTCCCCTTTCCTCTTGGTTCTTGCCTTTTGTGGGTGGTGAAGCCAACACCTGTGCTTATCTAGAAGCAGATGTTGCCCATTGTCTCCAGAAACACTCGTTTCCTTCTGTTCCTGGAGAATTGGGGATTCCCTTAAGATGCAAGTGCTGACCTGTACCTGGAGACAGAAGCCTTCCATTGGAATCAGGATCAGAAAACATTCCCTTGGAATTAGGAGACTCAGTCATACTCACGGAGATCAGTGAACATTCCACTTGAAGTTAGAAGATACAAGCCTTATATTTAGTGGAGCAGGAAATATTCCACTCGGATCCAAATCTTCCCTTGGGAGTCTGGAGCTGGAAACATTCCACATGGAGCCAGGACACGTCTTCTACTAGAATCAGGAGGAGGTAGCACTCCACCCGCATTCAGGATCACTAAGCATTGCTTCTGGAGTTAAGAAAGAAATCTTCCACTGGGAGTCAGGATCACCAAGAAACGCTTGGAGGTAAGAGAAACAACTTCCACTGGGAGTGAGCAACAGGAAATAGTCTGCTTGGATACCAGATCAGCAAGCATTGTGTCTGAAGTCAAGAGACCCAAGCCTTCCACCTGGTATCAAGATAAGCATTCCCTTTGAGTGTGGATACAAGTCTTTTGCTGGAGGTCAAGAGACACAAAAATCCAATCCAATTCCAAAGAATCTCAAAGGCAGAACCCAAGTATTTCTGTGACCCTAGAGACCCAAGTACTCTCTTTCAGCAGAAGCACACATTCTCCCAGTGCCTGTACACTCAAGCATGTACCTTTTGGAGATGTAAGCATTTTTTTTGAAGACTTTTTAAAAAATTTTAATTTATTTTGAATTATCAACAATCACTTCCTTAAGCTTTTGAGTTTTAATTTTTTCTCTCCCTTCCTCTCCACCTCCCTCCCCAAGATGGCAAGCAATCTGATATAGGCTATCCATATACGTTCCTATTAAACATATTTTCACATTAGTGATGTTGTAAGGAAGAATTAGAACCAATAGGAGGAACCATGAGAAAGAGGAAACAAAACACAACAGAAGAAATAAAATAGCAAATAGTACTGTCCTGTGCCTAGAGAAGTATTTCTTTTGAAACAGAGGTATTACCTTAGGCCTAGAGACAGAAGGATTCCTCTTGGTGCTTTTGTGCTTGGAGACCTGAGTTTTGTCTTATTTCTACAGAAGAAAGTATTGGCCTGTTCCTGGAAAAGCAAGTATTTCTCTTTGGTATAGTCAGAAACATGCATTCTTTTTGGTGCCAGGACGCTCAAAGATTCCCCTGGGTCCCTGGAGATGTAATTATTGCCCTCCACCTGTGAAGAAAAGGATTCTGTTGTTTTGCAAGAGCAACCCCCTAAATTAGTTTTAGAAAAAAATTTATTAGGGCATTTGGTAGAAAGCCACAAAGAAGATGGGGGTGGTGACTTCTTAGCCAAGTCTTTTGTGAGGTTACTTTTAGAGTTCAGACAAAGGCTGAAGGACATTTACCTAATTGGCTTCACCTAGGCAGTAGGTAGTCTCCAAGAGAAGGGCAATTTGATATGTACCTCGGCAGTTAAGTCAATCTATTTTGGAGAACCCAAAACAAGAGCTGAGGGGACCCGAAACAAACACTGGCTGGGATCTAACCAGTTCTCACAATCATTTGCCTCTCTGAGGTCAACCTGACCTCTACAGTAAGATTTTTGGGTTAGATGATGTTTTAGCCCCATAAAGATAGGTTCAAACATTAATAGATGATAAATAATAATTCACAATTGCGTTGGTACATAGGGAGAAGATGTTTCCTCTTGGTGCCTGGAGGAAAGAAAAAGATTCCTCTCACTTGGAGGGAAAAAAAAGGATTCCTCTTGGTGCCTAAAGGAAAAAAGGATCCCTCTTCATCCCTCAACAAAGAAAAAGGATTCCTCTTGGTGCCTAAAGGAAAAAAGCATTCCTCTTCATCCCTCAACAAAGAAAAAGGATTCCTCTAGGTATCTGTGGAGGGGGAAAAATTCCTCCTGATGCCTTGAAGGAAAAAAAAATATTCCTTTTAGTACTTGGAAGGAGAGGAGATTCTTCTTGGTGCCTGGAGAATTTAAAAAAAAAAAAGAGAGATAATAAGCATTCTTCCTGATCCCCGGAGGAAAAAAAAGATTTCTCTTGGTACCTGGAGGTGAAAGAAAAAATGATTGCTCTAAGGGGAAAAAAGGAGTCCTTTTGGTGCCTGGAGGGGAAAAAAGGAATATTCTGTTTCTGAAGGGGAAAAAAAAGACTCATCTTGGTACCTGAAGGGAAAAAAGAATCCTTCTTGGTGCCTAGAGGAAAAAAAAGTATTCCTCTGGGTGCTTGAAGGGAGATTCCTCTTTATGCCTGGAGAGACAAGTATTACCCTGTGTCTGGAGATTCCTCTGTGTCTACAGAAGCATGCATTACCCTTGGTATCTGGAGACTCGGGAATTCTCAATGGTCCACAGAGATGTAAGTAATGTCCTATGTTTTGTTTTGTTTTGTTTTTAGGCAATTGGGGTAAAGTGACTGGCCCAGAGTCACACAGCTAGTGAGTGTTATATATCTGAGGCTGGATTTGAACTCAGGTCCTCCTGACTTGAGGGCCAGTGCTCTATCCACTGAGCCACCCAACTGCCCCTTAAGTATTGTCCTATGCTTAGTGAAATCAGTATTCTTGGGCTCTCAAGAGGCACATGTGTTATATATCCTGTGCCTGGAGACAAGGATTTCTTTTGGTGCCTGGAGAATATAAGAGGATTCCTCTTGGTGCCTAAAGAAAAAAAGGATTCTTCGTGGTAACTAGAGGGCAAAATAAGATTCCTCTTGGTGCCTAGAGAGGCAAGCATTACCCTGTGTCTGGAGACCCCTCTATGTGTACAGAAGTATGCATTACCGTTGGCACTTGCAGACTCAAGGATTTTCAATGATCCACAGAGAGGTAAGTATTGTCCTATGCCTACTGAAGTCAGTATTCTTCTTGGCCTCACCAGAGGCAGATGGTTTTATCTTGTTCCTGGAGACAAGGATTTCTTTTGTTGCCTTGAGAAAAGAAAAGGATTCCTCTTAATGCTTAAAGAAAAAAGATCCTTGTTGGCACCTGGAGGGAAAAAAAAAACATTCCTCTTAGTGCCTAAGGAGAAAAGGATTCCTTTTGGTACCTAAAGAAAAAAAAGGATTCCTCTTGGTACTTAGGGAGAAAAGGATTCTTCTTGGTACCTAAAGAAAAAAAGGATTCCTCTTGGTGCTTAGGAAGAAAAGGATTCTTCTTGGTAACTAAAGAAAAAAAGGATTCCTCCTGGTGCCTAAAGAGAAAAGGATTCCTCTTGATGCCTAAAGAAAAAAAAGATTCCTCCTGGTGCCTTAAGGAGAAAAGGATTCCTCTTGATGTCTAAAGAAAAAAAGGATTCCTCTTGGTATGTGGAGGGAAAAAAACAGATTCTTCTTGGTGCTGAGGGAGAAAAGAATTCTTCTTGATGCCTAAAGAAAACAAGGATTCCTCTTGGTATGTGGAGGGAAAAAAAAAGATTCTTCTTGGTGCTGAGGGAGAAAAGAATTCTTCTTGATGCCTAAAGAAAAAAAGGGATTCCTCTTGGTACCTGGAGGGGAAAGAAACAATTCCTCTTGGTGCTTAGGGAGAAAAGGATTCTTCTTGATGCCTAAAGACAAAAAGCACTCCTCTTGGTACCTGGAGGGGAAAAAAAAAGATTCCTCTTGGTGCTTAGGGAGAAAAGGATTCTTCTTGCTACCTAAAGGAAAAAAAGGATTCCTTCTGGTACCTAGGGAGAAAAGGATTCCTCTTGATGCCTAAAGAAAAAAAGGGATTCCTCTTGGTACCTGGAGGGGAAAAAAAAAATTTCTTTTGGTGCCTGGAGGAGGAAAAAAAAATTCCTCTTGGTGACTGGAGAGGCAAGTACTACCCTGTGTCTGGACATCTCTCTATATCTACAGAAACATGCATTGCCCTTGGTACCTGGGGAGACTCAACGATTCTCAATGGTCCATGGAGATGCAAGTATTGTCCTATGCCTAGTGAAGTCAGTATTGTTTTTGGGCTGTCCAGGGGCAGATGTTTTATCTTATCCCTGGAAACAAAAGGATTTCTTTTGGTGCCTGGAGAAAAGAAAAGGATTCTTCTTGGTACCTAAAGAAAAAAAGGATTCTTCTTGATGCCTAAAGAAAAAAAGGATTTCTCTTGGTGCTGAGGGAGAAAAGGATTCTTCTTGGTACCTAAAGAAAAAAAGGATTCCTCCTGGTGCCTAAGGAGAAAAAGATTCCTCTTGATGCCTAAAGAAAAAAAGGGATTCCTCTTGGTACCTGGAGGGGAAAAAAACAATTCCTCTTGGTGCTTACAGAGAAAAGGATTCTTCTTGGTACCTGAAGAAAAAAAGGATTCCTCTTGGTGCTTAGGGAGAAAAGGATTCTTCTTGGTACCTAAAGAAAAAAAAGATTTCTCTTGGTGCCTAAGGAGAAAAGGATTCCTCTTGATGCCTAAAGAAAAAAAAAGGATTCCTCTTGGTGTTTAGGGAGAAAAGGAATCTTCTTGGTACCTAAAGGAAAAAAAGGATCCCTCCTGGTGCCTAAGGAGAAAAGGATTCCTCTTGATGCCTAAAGGAAAAAAGGGATTCCTCTTGGTATCTGGAGGGGGGAAAAAGATTTCTTTTGGTGCCTGGAGGAGGAAAAAAAAATTCCTCTTGGTGACTGAAGAGGCAAGTACTACTCTGTGTCTGGAGATCCCTCTGTATCTACAGAAACATGCATTGCCCATGGTACCTGGGGAGACTCAAGGATTCTCAATGGTCCATGGAGATGCAAGTATTGTCCTATGCCTAGTGAAGTCAGTATTGTTTTTGGGCTGTCCAGGGGCAGATGTTTTATCTTATCCCTGGAAACAAAAGGATTTCTTTTGGTGCCTGGAGAAAAGAAAAGGATTCTTTCTTGGTACCTAAAGAAAAAAAGGATTCCTCTTGGTGCCTAAAGACAAAAAGGACTCCTCTTGGTACCTGGAAGGGAAAAAAGATTCCTCTTGGTGCTTAGGAGAAAAGGATTCTTCTTGGTACCTAAAGGAGAAAAGGATTCCTCCTGGTGCCTAAGGAGAAAAGGATTCCTCCTGGTGCCTAAGGAGAAAAGGATTCTTCTTGGTATCTAAAGAAAAAAAAGTTTCTTCTTGGTACATAGAAAAAAAGGATTCCTCTTGGTATCTGGAGGGGGAAAAAAAGATTCCTCTTGGTACCTAGAGGGGAAAAAAAAAGATTTCTTTTGGTGCCTGGAGGAGGTTAAAAAAAAAAAAGAATTCTTCTTGGTGACTGGATCAGTATTCTTCTTGGGCTCCCAAGAGGCAGATGTGTTATCTATCCTGTGCCTGGAGACAAAAGGATTTCTTTTGGTGCCTGGAGAAAAGAAAAGGATTCCTCTTGGTGCCTAAGGAAAAAAAAGATTCTTGGTGCCAAAGAAAAAATGGATTTCTCTTGGTGCCTAAGGAGAAAAGGATTCTTCTTGGTGCCTAAAGAAAAAAAGGATTCTTCTTGGTGCCTAAAGAAAAGAACAATTCCTCTTGGTACCTGGAGGGAAAAAAAAGATTTGTTTTGCTTCCTGGAGGAGTTAAAAAAAAATTCCTCTTGGTTCCTGGAGAGGCAAGCATTACCCTGTGTCTGGAGATCCCTTTATGTCTACAGAAGCATGCATTACCCTTGGTACCTGGAGACTCAAGGATTCTCAATGGTCCATGGAGATGCATGTATTGTTCTATGCTCTTGGGCTGGCCAGAGGCAGATGTGTTATCCTATGCCTGGAAACAAAAGGATTCCTCTTGATGCCTAAGGAACAAATAGGATTTCTTTTGCTGCCTAAGACAAAAAAAAAGGATTCCTTTTGGCACCTAAAGAAAAAACGGATTCCTCTTGGTGCCTAAGGAAAAAAAGGATTCCTCTTGGTACCTGGAGGAGGTTAAAAAAAAAAAAAGAATTCCTCTTGGTGACTGGATCAGTATTCTTCTTGGGCTCCCAAGAGGCAGATGTGTTATCTATCCTGTGCCTGGAGACAAAAGGATTTCTTTTGGTGCCTGGAGAAAAGAAAAGGATTCCTCTTGGTGCCTAAGGAAAAAAAGATTCTTCTAGGTACGTAAGGAGAAAAGGATTCTTCTTGGTGCCTAAAGAAAAAAAGGATTTCTCTTGGTGCCTAAGGAGAAAAGGATTCTTCTTGGTACCTAAATTAAAAAAAAGAGTCTTCTTGGTGCCTAAAGATAAAAAGGATTCCTCTTGGTCCCTGGAGGGAAAAACAGGATTCCTCTCAGTACCTGGAGGGGAAAAAAAGATTTCTTTTGGTGCCTGGAGGAGTTAAAAAAAAATTCCTCTTGGTTCCTGGAGAGGCAAGCATTATCCTGTGTCTGGAGATCCTTTTATGTCTACAGAAGCATGCATTACCCTTGGTACCTGGAGACTCAGGATTCTCAATGGTCCATGGAGATACAAGTATTGTTCTATGCCTAGTGAAGTCAGTATTCTTCTTGGGCTGGCCAGAGGCAGATGTGTTATCCTATGCCTGGAAACAAAAGGATTCCTCTTGATGCCTAAGGAACAAATAGGATTTCTTTTGCTGCCTAAGACAAAAAAAGGGATTCCTTTTGGCACCTAAAGAAAAAATGGATTCCTCTTGGTGCCTAAGGAAAAAAAGATTCTTCTTGGTGCCTAAGGAGAAAAGGATTCTTCTTGGTACCTGGAGAGAAAAAAAAAAGATTTATTTTGGTGCCTAGAGGAGGTAAAAAAAGAAAAAGAATTCTCCTTGGTGACTGGAGAGGCAAGTATTGCCCTGTGTCTGAAGATCCCTCTATGTCTACAGAAGCATGCATTACCCTTGGTTCCTGGAGACTCAAAGATTCTCAGTGGTCCATAGTGATGTAAGTATTGTCTTATGCCTAGTGAAGTAAGTATTCTTCTTGGGCTCTGCGAGGCTAATGTGAAAAATGATTACTGCCCTTTTGGTCCTTGGTGATAAAGTTATTCAACTATTCCCCTTGATGCCATGTGATGTCTACGTTCCTCTTGATGTACCCAAACCAGATTTCCCTTGATGCCAAGAGATGCCTTTTGTGACTAGAGATGCCATCCTAAAAATGTGATGACTCAATATGGAATCATTTCCTTTATGAATGAAGATATAATCAAATTACACTATTTCCCTTGATGCAAATATCTCAGTGATTTTCTGGAAAATCAGATATTCTACTTGTTTTACAGAGTCACAGATTTATGGAGAGCAAAAAAGACTTCTTGCTTTCGGAAGAGGTTCCCTTGCTTTCCAGACAGGCAAGCATTCCAGTTGGTGTCCAGATTCCAGGAGATTACAGTATTTCACTTGATGCAAGTATTCCAGTCATTTTCTGGAGAATCAAATATTCTATTTGTTTTACGGGAGTCTGAGGCAAAAAGTCTCATTGCCTTCTGGAGAGGTTGATGAGAACTTCCACTTGGCATCCGGAAATGTCAATATTCCAGGAAATTACAATATTTCCCTTGATGCAAGTATTCCAATCATTTACTGGAGAATCAAAGATTCTACTTGTTTTATGGGAGTCAGTGGTGTTTGAAGAGGTAAAAAGTGAAAAAAAAAACCCTTGTAGAGAGGCATGCATCCACTTGTCTGGAAATGCAAATATTCTAGGAAATTTTTTGTTTTATGGAGTCAGAGGCAAAAAGTCTCATTGCATTCTGGAAAGGCAAGCATTCCATTTGGTGTTCAGAAATACAAATATTCTAGGCAATTCCAGTATTTCCTTTGATGCAAGTATTCCAATCATTTTCTGGAGAATCAAATATTCTATTTCTTTTATGGGAATCACAGATGTTGGGAAAGGCAAAAAGTCTCCTTGCCTTCTGGAGAGGCAAACATTCCACTTGGTATCTGGAAATGCAAATATTCTAGGAAATTACAATATTTCCCTTGGTGCAAGTATTCTAATCATTTTCTGAAGAATCAAACATTCCACTTGTTTTATGGGAGTCACAGGTGTTTGGAGAGGTAAAAAAGAAAAAAAAACTTGTCTTCTGAAGAGGCATACATCCACTTGTCTGGAAATGCAAATATTCTAGGAAATTCCAATATTTCCTTTGATGCAAGTATTTCATCATTTTCTGCAGAGTCAAATATTCTACTTGTTTTATGAAGTCAGAGATAAAAAGTCTCATTGCATTCTGGGAAGGCAAACATTCCACTTGGTGTCTGGAAATGCAAATATTCTAGGAAATTCCAATGTTCCCCTTGGTGAAAGCATTCCAATTATTGTCAGGAGAATCAAATATTCTACTTGTTTTATGAGAGTCAGAGGAAAAAAGTCTCATTGCCTTCTGAAGATGCAAGCATTCCACTTGGTGTCTGGAAAGGCAAATATTCTAGGAAATTCCAATACTTCTCTTAATGCAAGTATTTTGATCATTTTCTGGAGAATCAAATATTCTACTTGTTTTATGGAGTCAGAGGCAAAAAGTCTCATCACATTCTAGAGAGGCAAGCATCATTCTAGGTGATTCCAGTATTTCCCTTGATGCAAGTATTTCAATCTTTTTCTGGAGAATCAAATATTCTACTCTTATGGGAGTCACAGGTGTTTGGAAAGGCAAAAAGTCACCTTGCCTTCTGGAGATGCAAGCATTTCACTTGGTGTCCGGAAATACAAATATTCTGGGAAATTGTAGTATTTTCCTTGATGCAAGTATTTTAGTCATTTTCTGATGAATCAAATATTCTACTTGTTTTATGGGAGTCAGAGGCAAAAAATATCTCATTGCCTTCTGGAGAGGCAAGCATTTCACTTGATGTTGAGAAATCCAAATGTTATAGGAAATTAGTGTCCAGACAGGTAAGTATTCTGGAAATTTGGCATCCAGAGAAGAAAATATATTTTGCCTGGTTTTTGAAGACTCAATTTTATCCCCACTTGGTTCATGGGATCACAATTTTTTTTTTCTTGCATGGTTTCTGGAATCCACAATGTACATGGAGTTCCATGTATACATTTTACGTGGAATCTACAATCTTATAAACCCACTCAGGTTCCAGAATATAATTCCCGCCTTCTCTGATTGACTTCTAGAATTTTTTTCCCCTCCATTTGGTTTCTGACATTGTTGTCCCTCCCTTGGGTTTCTAGAATATAAGTTGTATTTATTGTGCCTGGTTTCTGGAATCTATAAATTTTTTCCCCTATGCTTGGTTTCTGGAGCACACACCCACACACACACTCTCATGTTTTTTTCCTCCCTAGTAGGAGTTGGCGGATTTCCCCCCCCCCGCTTTGTTTCTGGAATTTTGTCCTGTGCTTGATTTCTGGAATATTAATTTTTCCCTGCCTGGTTTTTAAAATCTACAGTTTTGTCCTGTGCTTGGTTTCTGGAATTTTTTTTCCCTGCCTGGTTTCTGGAATCTCCTTTTTTTTAACCTGTTTTTTTTTCCAAATCTACAATTTTGTGTTGTGCTTGGTTTTTGGAATATAAATGTTTTTCTCCTTTATTTCTGGAATATAATTTTTCCCCCACCTGGTTTTTGAAATTTACAAGTTTATGTTATGCTTAATTTCTGGAAATATTTTTTCATGCTTGGGTTCTGGAATCGTCAATTTTTTTCCTGTGCTTAGTTTCTTCAATTTTCTTTTTTCCTGCGTGGTTTCCAGAATCTGCACATTTTTTTCCCTGTGTTTGGTTTTTGGAGTCTGATTCTTGTGTTTTTTCCCTAGTTTCTTGAATTTTTTCATCAGTTTTTCTCCCTGGAAGCTAAAATAAAAGTTCCCTCTCCACCATACTTGGTTTAATGGGATGTGGATTTTCTCCCCTTATTGTTTTTTTTTTTTTTGGAATCTGCTTTTTCCACTTGATGGCCATAAGTACAGATTCTTAATTTTCTGTTGGTAAGTATTGATTGGTAAGTATAATACAAATTTGTAATTTTTTTTTGTGGCTTTGGTAAGTGCCACTTTTTCTCTAGGTACTGATCACAACATTTTTATGTGCCTTCTGGGAAATGAAGTCTTCTTCACGTTTTGTGGAATACAAATTATTTGGCTGCTGGGAGACCCAACCCATCCTCCTTGGTTTTATGGAATACAAGTTTTTTTCAAAAATTTGTGGAATGCAAACTTGTCTATCAGCTCAGACATCCAATCATTCCCTTATTTCTTGTGGAATACAAGCTTTCTTAAAAATTTGACAGCTAGGCACTCTAATCCTCCCTCCTTGGTTTCTGGAATTAATGGTTTTGTTTTATTGGTGACTCTGGGATCCAATTCCCCTTGATCTGTGGAATACAAATTTTTGAAAATTGGTGACTGGAAGAGCCAATCGCCTTTTTTATCTGTGGAATACAAATTTTTAAAATTTTCCAGCTGGTAGATCCAGTCATCCTCCTTGATCTAGGAAATGTAAATGTTTTTGAATTGGCATTTGAAAGATCCAGTCATCCCTTTGATCTGTGGAATACAAGTTTATAACTGGCAGCTGGGCAACATAATTGTCCTTTTTGGTTTTGTAATACAATTTTTTAAAAAATTGGCTGATAAGATTTAATCAACCACCTTTGTGGAATACAAATTTTTTCTTTTTGATTTGGTATCTGGGAGATCAAATACAATTGTTAGTTTTGTTTTCTTTTGTTTTAATTTGGCAGCTAGGAGATCCAGTCAACCTCTTTGATTTGTGGAATACAAATTTTTTAAATTTGGCAGCTGGGAGAACTAATCATTTTCCCTGCTTTCTGCAATAAGATTTCCTCTCCCCCCGCCCCAATTTGGCAGTTGGGAGATCTCTTTTAGTTTGTAGAATAGAAGTGTTGGGTTTTGGGGAGGGGGGTTTTGTTTTTGTTTTTCATTTCATAGCTAGGAGAGCCAATCATCCTCCTTGATTTGTGGAATACAAAATTTTAAAATGTGGCAGCCGGGACATACATCATCCTGCTTCATTTGTGGAATACAAGTGTTGGGTTGAAAATGAAATTGGCCATTAGGAGATCCAATCATCCTCCTTGATTTGTGGAATACGATAATTTTAAAATTTGGCAGCTGGGAGATCTCAACGTTCCCCTTCATTTGTGGAATACCAAGTGTTGGTTTTTGTTTTTTGTTCCTTGTTTTTTCTTTCAATTTGGCAGCTGGGAGATCTCAACGTTCCCCTTCATTTGTGGAACACAAATGTTGGTTTTATAGAAAATTGGCAGCTAAAAGATCCAATCATGTTCCTTGATTTGTGGAATACAATTTTAAGATTTGTCAACTGGGAGATCTAATCACCCCCCTTCATTTGTGGAATACAAATTTGGTTGTTCTGTTTTGCAGCTTGGAGATCTATTAGTCCCCTCTTATTTGTGGAATATAATTTTTAAAAATTGGCAGCTGGTTGATATAATCTTGTTTTGTGGAATACGAGGTTTTTTGTTTTCCTTTTATTTTTCATCTGAGAGATCTAATTATCTGGTGTTTTGTGGAATACAGGGTTTTTTCCATTGGTATCTGGGAGATCTAATCTGTTTTGTGGAATACGAGGCAATTTTTTTCCACTTTGGCATCTGGGAAATATAATCTATTGTGGAATACAAGGTTTTTTCCTATTTGGCATCTGGGAGATCTAGTCCTCTCATTTTGTGGAATATAAATTTTTGTTTTAGTTATTACATTTGGCATCTGGGAGGCTCTAATCTGTTGTTTTGTGGAATACAAGGTGTTTGTTTTTTTCCATTTGGCATCTGGGAGAGGTAATCATTCCTCGTTGGTTTTGGAATATAAGTGTTTTGTTGGGTTTTTTTCCTCCACTTGGCAGCTGGAAGTTCTAATCACCTTTTATTCATGGAATATATTTTTTAATTTGGCAGCTGGGAGATCTCATCGCCTTTCTTGTCATGTGCAATATAAAGTTTTTAAAATTTGGCTACTTTGAGATGTAATCAATGTCACTGGTTTGTGTAACAGAAGTGTTATGTTTTTGGTTTTTTTAATTTGGCAAGGAATGTTTTCGTTGATTTTGGTGGCTGGTCTTTCTAAATATATACCTTGGTTTTTAGAATAAAAGTTTATAAATTGGCAGCTGGGTGATCTCTTTGGTTTATGAAATATAAATTTTTACAGTTTAGTAGCTAGGATTAGACTATTGACTCCTTTTCCCCTATCCTTTGGGTTTGCTTGTTAAATGCAAACGTTTAAAATTTGGCTCCTGGGAGATACAATTGAACCCTATTTCCTTGGTTTATGAAATTCAAGTTGTTCTTTTGGGTAACTCTGCAAATTACCCTTTTAGATTACAAAATGGTCTGTTATTTATTTTAGTTGGCTGTTGGGAGAACCAGTCAACTCCATTGGCTTATGCAATACAAGTTTTTGGTGCTTCAGTTGGTATCTAGGAGATCTAATCAATCCCCTTGGATTATGTAATACTAGTTGTTTTAATTGGCAGCTGGGAGATCCAGTTGATTTCCTTGCTTTATGCAATAAAAGTTGTTGCTGTTTTAATTGGCAGCTGGGAGATCTAGTCAACTCCCACGGTTTATGTAATATCCGCAAGATAAGTTGTTGCTCTTAATTGGCTACTGTAAGATCTAATGAATCCTCTTGGATTGTGTTATTATACGAATTGTTTTCATATGCTGCTGGGAGATCAGTGACCCACCTAATTTAAGCAATACAGTTTTTTGTTGGTTTAATTGGCAGTTGGAACATCCAGTCATGCCCTTTGCTTCATGGAAGAAAAGTAGTGTGTGTTTTTGGTTTGTCTTTATTTTAGAAGCTGGTAGATCCCCTTGGTTTGTGTGACAGGAGTAGTCCTTAAACTATTGGTCTGGATTTCCAGGTGTCCCCTTTGGTTTTTGTTTTTTTAATTTGGCTGGAAGCTCCAATTTTCCTTTTTGATTTGCTATGAGATCCAATCAGCCATCTTGGTTTGTGGAATATGCTAATGGTTTGTGGAATATGTTATTGGTTTGTGGAATATGTTATTTTCTTTGGCAGCTGGGAGATACAACCATCTCACTTATTGTGGAATACAAGTTCTTATCCTTGTGGAATACAAAATTTCCTTTGGCACCCTGGAGATCCAATCGTTGTGGAATACAAATTTCTTTTTTGGTCGCTGGGAGAATTATTCATCTCCCTCTTTGTGGAATACAAAGTTTTTTATTTCGCAGTTGGAAGATCTGTTGGCCCCTTTTTGTTTTTTTGCTGGCTGGAAGAGTGAACCATCCTCCTTGGTTTGTGGAATACAAGTTTTTTTGGGTTTGTTTGATTTTTTTTGGGGGGGTGTTTTTCTTTTGGGGGTGGCTCCCTGGAAGGATCTCATCATCATCCTTGGTTTGGAATACAAAATTTATTGTTCCTGTTCATTTGTGGAATACAAGATTTTTGGGGGGTTTTGGTGCTTGGAAGAAATCATCATCATCCTTGATTTGGAATACAAAATATCCTCTTCATTTGTGGAATACAAATTTTTTTGGTGGTTTCTTTGGTGCTTCGAAGATCTCATCATCCTCCTTGGTTTGTGGAATACAAAATTTCTCATTCTTCATTTGTGGAATACAAAGTCTCTCGGGGGGGGTTTGTTTGGCGCTTGGAAGATCTCATTATCCTCCTTGGTTTGGAATATAAAATTTATTGTTCTTTGTGGAATACAAGGGAATTTTTTTTTATTTTTATTTTTTGGTGCTTGGGAAGATTTCATCATCCTTGGTCTGGAATACAAAATTTATATAAGGTCTCTCGGTGGGGTTTGTTTGGTGCTTGGAAGATATCATCGTCCTTGGTTTGTGGAATACAACTCATTTGTGGAATACAAGTTTTCTGGGCTGTTTTTTGGTGGTTTTTTTTTTTTTTTGGTTTGCTTGTTTGTGGTTTTTTTTTTTTTATGGTGCTTGGAAGATATCCTCCTTGGTTTGTGGAATACAATTCATTTGTGGAATACAAGTTCTCTGGGTTGTTTTTTGGTGGGATTTTTTTTTTTGGTTCATTTGTTTGGTTGATGTTTTGTTTTTTTTTTATGGTACTTAGAAGATCTTATCCCGCTTGGTTTAGAATACAATTTTTTTTGGCTTTGTTTTCTTTCTTTTTTTTTTTCCTTGGAAGATTTCCTCATCATGGTTTCATCACATTTGGAATACAAAAATTCATCGTTCCTCATTAGTGGAATATAAGGATTTCTTTCTTGTTGTTTATTTATTTATTTATTTTTAGTGCTTGGAAGATCTCAGCCTCCCTGGTTTGGAATACAGTTTTTTTTTTTTGCGGAATATATGTTTTTTGGTTTTTATTTTTTGTGCTTTGGGTTTTTTTGGTGCTCGAAGATCTCAGAGACTCCCTGGTTTGGAATACAATTTTTTTCTCTCTGTGGAATACAAGTATTTTGGTTTTTATTTTTTGTGCTTTGGGTTTTTTTGGTGCTGGAAGATCTCATCCTCCTCCTTGGTTGGAATACAAAATTTACTGTTTGTGGAATACAAGTTTTTTTGGGGTGTTTTTGTTTGGTGCTTGGAAGATCTCATCATTTTTCAGGGTGTGGAATACCTTTGTGGAATACAAGCTTTTTGGGTTTGTATGATGCTTGGAAGATCTAATCCTTTTTGGTTTGTGGAATACAAATGTTTTTTGGGGGGTTTTTTTGGTGGCTGGCATTGGTAAGTGGAATTGGTGTTGGTAAGTGGGAACATCCTACTTCATTTAGGTAAGTCCCAATTTTTCTCTTGATATTTGGAATATGTAAATATTCTAGAGTATCCCTGGGCAGGGTAGGGCGAAGGAATACCACATCTGTCTACAAGACAGAAGTCTCCACTTAGCGGAAACTATTGCAGAGTAAGAGGAAAATTATACTTAAGGCATTATTCCCCATCCTTTTTTATAAAGCTGAAAGTAATAGTACTGGATTTGGAATCAGGTGGAATGAAGATGCTCTTGGTTTGAATCTCTACTCTGTCACCTGGACAGTGTCTACATGACAAGTAGTCTCCACTTAGGGGAAAGTATATTGCAAAGTAAGAGGAAAAATGTTATACTCAGAACATGACTTCACCCACCTTTATAAAGCTGAAAGTAACATTACAGTATTTTGAATCAGGTAGAAAGTCCTTGCTTTAATTCTCTGGTCTGTCATTTTTCTCTAGACCTCCATTTACTCATTTTTAACACGAGTTGAGATTTAGTTGACCTTTGAGGTCCCTTCCACCTCAATTCTGTGAATGTCAAACTTTCAGCAGTCTACAGTAAAAGACATGTTTAAATATAAAAATAGCCTTTCCAGCCCTTATGACTGTGTATTAATATGTATAATTTGTTTTCTAGGTGTGGTGCAAGCCCTGCATGGAAGCACTCAAGCAGCCCTCCAGGTCATTGGTTGGATCCTTTCATTGTGGACTTCTGGACCAGAATCATCCATGTTGAAGGTATAGGTCTTTTCTGTATCTTTAAGGGAATGTCTCATGTACATGCGATTTCGGGTCCTTTAAATAATCAGTGTGCATCTAAAACTCTGTGGGGGCCATTATTTTCATTCTCTATGTTCCTTACTTATCATTCTCTGCATCATGGAATGCAGTGGGCCATTCTGTAGTCTGTTTAGCCATTTCCCAAAGAGTTTGTTTCCAGGTTTTCTTTTTTACAAATATCTTTAGCAATAAGCACCATGAGGAAGTTTCCCCCTTGTTGCTAATGAGTTCCTTCAAGCATATTCCCTGTAGTGGCATTGCATTTAAAGGATATAGCCAAATTAATGATGCATTTGTAGTATGTGTGATTGTGCTCCAAAGATTGTGCCCCTTCTCGTTGTCACCATGCTGTTGTGAGTACGACCGTTTCCACACAACCCTTAGTTTTGTCATTTCCATTTTGCTGATTGACTGGGCTGATGGTATATTTGCACCTATTTACTTATATTCTGTGCTTCTGTGAATTGTGTCAGACAGTCCTTTGAACATTTATAGTGTCAGTGGATGCTGGATATCCCCCAGATGTTGTCTGACTTATTTCTATTTTCCTCTTCAATGAAAAAGAGCCAATATTGGAATTATAAACTGAGGGCCTGTTGGCCAGCAGCATAGGGGAACAGCTGACCTGGCACAGAGCTTAAGACCTTCCAATCAGGTCTGTGACATTTCAGAATAACAGGATGTACATTCCTCGTCTCAGATTCAAAAGCAAAGCACTGCTCACCCAAAATAATGGCTGTATCATAGCCTTATATAAAGTTTGTTGAACACACCAGGGTCCTTGCTCTATAGAAGAATCATGAGATTTAGAATTCCAATGGATCTTAGAGATCCCTGAGACCATTCATTTCATTTTACAGAGGAGGCAACTGAGAGCTTGAGAGGGAAAGGGATTTGATACTGTTTTTAAAAGGATATCATGCTTACAAGTACTTACAAGTGTCTTTTTTTTTTTCTTCATTCCCATACCAGTCACAACCCAGACCCACTGCTGAGGACACCTACCACACCTTGCTGCCCCGTGACCAGAGAAGAATACGGAGAAGATGACTTTTCACCAAGAAAACCTTTTGTTAATTAATTTCTTCAATAATTATATGTCTTTTATCATAACTACAAATCACCTCCAAAGACTGTAAGCTTCAAGAGGGCAGGCTATTTATTAATCTCTGAATTTGGACCACATTTTGTTAGTTTCCCCTCCTTCCTTGTTTATATCATGCTTTTGTGAACTCCCTTGGTGCTTCAGCAGAACCACCACTTGCTGCTTTCCTCACCTTTCCCCCCAGATCATGTACCCTGAATAAATGGTTTCTTTTTAAAAAAACTTTCTTGGTATTGAAAATGATTTCATGAGGGGAACTGGAACACAAGTAATCAGGAATCAGACTTTGTTTTTAATTCTGAAACTGTCAGTTGCAAGGCAAGAGTTTCCTCTTCTTGGCTCTAGGAAGATAACACATGTTGGGGTGGAGTCAGCCCTGGGACCTTGCATCTAAGATCAGAGAAATCATTCAAACTCACTATCAGTAAATAAGCTCCTTGGTCAGTGGGACCCTGGAAAGAGAACCAGAGCTGATTGACCAACTCACCCAACTGTCTTGGCTACAATATCCTTTGCAAAACGAGCTGGTTTGTCTAGATCCCACCTCTGAATCTCTGATTCTGCATCTAGGTTTAATTAAGCTCATTCTTTTCTTTGCCTCAGTTTCAGCCGATATCAGCTTGACATGGCACCATCCGATGGTGGAAATTCAGCCTAACAGAGTCAAGACCTTGTTAGCCTGACAGATGATTTCAATTTTAACACTGAGGCACTTGGGAAACCTGGATTTGAGCTACACCTATGATTTTTAGGGATAACCTCTGCTTTGTTTATTTATGCCAGTGGTTCCACACACCTGAGCTTAAAAATTCTCAAGCTTTCTACCAACTCTATTCACCTCTCATCCCCATACCCCCTCCGACCCCCAGTAGTTAATGATTTGTAAACAAACACCTATCTAACATTTAACTGGCCCTCTTTATAAGGCCCAATAATAATCCTTTGGTAATTCCCAGAATTCATCATTTCCATTTTTGTAGGGATATCTATATAGTAAGCACGACCAACTTTACTTGGTGGGAGGTGGGGAAGAGGAGTGTCTTACCAGTATATAATAATCCTGCTTCCTGGGCAGGCCTCTTTCTTTACATTAAATACCTTGAGACAAGTACATTCTACCTCCAGTCTTGGCTAATTCTCAAGGTATGAATTGGAAATGGGACTCATCTTGTTTGAAAGTCATTCGAATCCCATTTCTCTTATTCTTCCCCTCATCTCCTTGGTGGTGGGGTTTTATCCAACATTTAGAAAAGAGAGTTCTTCACCTAGGGTCCATGAAGTTGGATGCAGAAAAACAAATTCATCTTTATTTTCACTAACCTCTCATTGAAATACAACATATCTTTTAGTGATTTAAGGATATTCCAAGAAAGTCTGCCTTCAGCAGACTCTCAAGAGATCCATAACACAGAACCCCTGCTTTAGAAGAATTGAAAACATAGCCAAGTAATTTGCAAGGTGGTCGCAGAACAGGCCTGCTGGTCCTGTGAATCACAGCTGCTGCTACATTACAGGTTTTTTCAGTTTGGGAGGGTTTTTGGCATCAGTTGGAAAGGGGAACGGGAATGATAAAAATCTCCAAGCAATATTTATTCCACAGTTAGCCAGCACTCTGAGGGCAGAGTTAGGGATCTGATGGAATCAAGTCCACAAAGGAAGCTGCCAGGCCTCACTCCTACACTCTATCACCTCATCTTACTCCCCAGGAAGAGGATCTAGAAATCACTGAGACCCCACCTTGGCCTCCCAGCTCCCTAAACCCATCCTGCCCCACCCTTACTGGTGGCTCTGGACCCTTCATCAAGCCAGGACTTTTATCTGACAGCTCTTAGTAGGAAAAGGACCCTATTCTAGCTCGCTAGGGTTTGAGGAAATGAGCTGCCTGGAGGGTGGAGGCAGAGAGGAAAACCAGGTCTGCCAATAAGAGTGAGTCTCTTACTAGATGGCAGCATACAGCAGACAACCCATTGGCTTTTTTCCAGCACCTCAAGTTTGGGGGTGTAGGGGGGAGCCAGTCTAGACAATTGGTTAAGTGAAAGAAAGGCACTTCCTTCCCCTGCTCCATCCCGGGGACTAGGGGAGTCGAGTCCTCCACCTACCTTCAGCCTGGCCTCTAGAACAGACTTCCAGCAGGAACAGAAAAAGCCTGGAGATTCCGGACAAGTTGGAGCAGGTTCCTGCTTTCAGTAACGTAGGCAGTATCATGCCTGAGAGCCCAGAGAGACCCTGGACTTCAGAGAGGTGGGGTTAGGGGAGAATGTTAATTGCTCAGACAATGCGCTCAGGTGCAGGCTAAGCCCTGCTCCACCCCCCTCCCTTCAGGTTCTTTAGGTTCATTGGTTCTTCCACCTGTCATTCCTCTTCTCCAAATCTAGAATAAAGGATCAAGCAAGTCCCTTAGCTTGGAATTTCCTACCTCTCCAGCCATCCCTTTCCCTCTATACCTCATCTCAGCCATTCTCACTCGTCCTGATTTATATCTTGCCACTGGACCCAGATGGCTCCAGAAGAGAAAGTGCAGCTGGTAACTTTCCACAGCCCTCCCTCATTGAAATCCAATTCAGTTGCATGTCATGACATCACCTTCCTGATGCCATGGTCCTCCTGTTCGAGAAGGAAGGACAAACCACAACAGGGCCTGGTTTCTTCTAAAGCCAGGTCGAAGGGAAGACTCATCCTTTCACTGTGATCCTAAGTAGGCTTCTCATAGGAGGCACTCAGAAACAAACGGTCCCTTTCCATATCTAAGCCTCGCTTTTCTCAGTAAAGTTAGGGAGTCAGACCAGATAACCTCCAAGAGTCCTTTCTAGCTCTGACTTATGGTCCTAGGAATTTTCCTGGTCTATTTCCATCACTCAGTTATTTAGTGAGATCCTATGAGTGGGAAATCCAATAATCATGGAGAGGTAGACAGAACTTGGGGTATAGAGATAAGGCTTGCTCCCTCATGACTCCTAAAACCCCTATTTATTGACTTTTTAATGGATAAATGAAATAGTGGACATACCTGTACCAGTTGCTTGTGTGAAAGGGAAGAAAATATATGATATAGAGTAGAGCTTTATAATAAGACATCTATTCCTAGAACAAATTCAATACCTATTGTGTGCAAGGTACTAAAAGCACGAGGAGAAGGGGCTGATTCCAAGTTTAGTTAAGATAGTCTTAGGTGTCTCGGAGTTCCAAGTCTAGTGAATGTATTTTCTAAAAAGCCAGTTATCTTTGGGAGGAATTTGGGTGAACTCCTTGTCCTGCATCCCCTTCATCTATGCCTGTCCTCTCTCTGCCTTTCCCTAGGTATTGTGGCTGGAATATGTCTCTCACCTTCTTCAAAGCCTCTGAGGAATCCCTCCATTTGATCATGTGCTAGTAAAGCCCAGCCTTGTTTAACTTCTAAAATAATGGCTCCTGCCTGGAATGTTCCCTCCTTTCCTTCCACTCTTCATCTCAGCCTTTTTAGAGCTGATCGAACCTTCAAGGCCACTACAGATCACAAGTTTCCACACTGACTCTTCCTAGGTTAGTCCTCCATCAGCCTTTATTTCCACAGCTATAACATTTCTATTTCTCTCCTTACCCTTCCTTCATTCTTCCACCCCCCAGCTCTACTGACCCTGCTTCTATCTTCAGGTTCACATGTTTCCACATGCTTTATATTTTCTTGAGATAAAAAAGGTTCCATTAAGGTGCTCCTTGGATTCTGGCATCGAGGGTCTTAATCATTCCAGCTGAACAAAATTCTAGCTGGGCATACCATCTTAATGTAGGTGGGAGAAGGGACCTCCGTGAACACAGTTCCTTTGCTTACTAATGTCTATAGTGCTAATCCCCCAACCTTTCTGATTAGGCCTGTTCCTCCTGAACAGACCATGCTCTTTCACCCCTTTGCTACATCCCAGTTTGTGACTACTTCCTCAAGTCAGTTTATTTTCCATATTCTGTGCATTGGGTAGAACATGATCTAAAAGCATGTAAGGCTGTACCCACCCCAGCTCCTAATATTGTCTCTATTGTATTACTAGCTAGCCCTTGAATCCTCATGCATTTTCTTGTTAATATTTGTCCTCTGGGGTATATAGTTGCATAGTTTCTTGAGGACATTTTCTTGGTGCCCATCAAATTCTGTTTAAAACCACCTTGTTCACGTTGGTGAGCCTCCCTCTTGCCAATCATCATCCCTTGTGAGATGCACTCTGTGCCAAGCCAGAAGCTTGTTACTTGGGTATTATAAGGCATGGCCCTGCTCCTGGACACCATCTAGCTGTTACTTTTCTCTTTCCAAATCCCAGTCTTCAAGTGGAAAAAGAGATGACCACAGCACCTGTGTCCCTAAGTCTTTCAGTTTGGTATGCAAAGCTTTAAAGCAATGAGAAACATCCTGGATTCTTTTTGAGCCAAGTATTTGGTCTCAAATGAATCAGACGTGGTCAGCAGTAAGCAATTTTGATGAGCCTTGGGAGGTTCTCCATCACATCTCAGATCCATGCTGACCATAGAGAAGGTGGGATGCAAATACCATTAGCCATTCTGCCTCCAAGCCTGTTAATGAGAACAGGGCTGGTCTGGGAATTTGGGGCATTGCTGAACCTGCTGGTGTGATTACTTTAACTCCTGAGGTTAGAAGGGCGGGAAGCTGGCAGGTCATTCATTACACCCTGAAGAAGGCTCTGAAAAAATGGGAACCATATCTGATACCACTAATGGTAGGATTGCCTCCCCACTCCCACCCCCCTCACCCCTCTGACAGAAAGATATGAGCTATTAGTGAAAACAGAAAGGGTTTGGCATTCTGTGAACTGGGAGTTAGGTTTGATGACCCCTGAGGTCCCCTCCTTCCACCTTCACTGTTCTCTACTTTTATGCCCTATAATTAAACCCATCTGACCATTCCTGTTTCTAGAGAGATGTATAGACATCCATCCAGCTAGTCACTTCTTTGGCCCTACAATTTCAGAGTTAATTTCTGGTCAGCAAAAGTAGTCGTAGTACTCTACCGTCCTTGGTTAGTAGGCTAGCAAGCTAAATGTGACCTTTTTGAGGTGAGTGATTTTCCGAAACACTATTCCTTCGTCTATAGGCAAACCCTTCAGAATGCTATTGGAAAATGAACCTTAATTAAAAAACATAAACTTCAGAATCTAGTGACTGTGTAGGGAAAATTATGCCACAAATGGGGCCGGGGAAGATACTCAGTGCCTGGCACAAAATAGGTGCATTACAAACATGAGACTCAGCTCTCTGGTCACCAAACTCTACTGTCTAGTAGGAGTTCTTACCATGGTGGGGCATGACTTGTTAATACCTGGATAACTTTCAACATAACTATTTCTTTATGTTTTATTTTAGTCTTTTAAAAACCTTCTTCTGAGAGGGAGTCCACAGGCTTCTCCACGCTGCTGAAGGAGTCCTAGTGGGATGGGAGAATTCTCTAGGCAGGATGAAAAGACCCCACAGGCCCATCCTCACCTTGCTGCTGCTGCTGCTAGTGCTTGATTCAATTTTCCTGGTGCTTTGATACCAGGAAGAGGGTGCTCAGAGTGGCATGTACCTGTGTGCTGCCTCTAACCTTCCTGATTGCCTTCTGTTAAAGGGGACACCATCCTCCCAATCACCCAGGCTCCTAATCTAAGTGTCCTCTGATCACTCTGACCTTCCAGATCCAATCTCTTGCTACATCTTATCAATTCTACTTCCCACCCTCATCACCTCACATTTGGGCTATTGCTGCCCACTGGTTGATCTGTCTCCTCCAAGTTTCTCTTCACTTCATCCTCCATTCAAGCTATGGAATTGATCTTCCTTAAGCCCAAGTACCTTGGCACATCATTCCCACCCCACCCCCCATTCAATAAACTCTGGTATTTGCCCCCAGGATGAAAAAAAAATTACACACACACACACACACACACACACACACACACACACATTATCCTCTGGCTTTTAAAGCCCTTCATAACCTGGTCCCTTCCTACTTTTCCATTTTTCTTATTGCATCTTATTGCTCCTCCACCTACTTGTGGCAGTGGCCTCCTGGCCATTCCTCCCACTTGCACATCTCCAGAATCTGGCCATTTCCACTGGCTGTCCTCATTCCCTGGGATTCTTTCTCTCCTCATCTCTGCCTCCTCTTTCCACCTTCTTAACCTAGTGACTTCCCTCTGAGATTACCTCCCAATTTACCTTTGTTCGCTTCCCCATTAAATGATGAGCTCCCGGAGGGCAGAGATGGTTTTTGTTGACTCTATGAATTCCTGTTGTGTGATCCGGTTCCTTGGAAGAAGGTCAATCATTCCTCAAGAGAGCTTGTTCATGAAATCACTGCATGTGTATATCTGACGATGGCCCCACCAGGTGGCATAAAGGCTCAGAGCAGCATTCAACTACCCCCCTGCTTGAAACCAGAGCTATTTCAGAGCCTCGTGACACTAGGGGACAGAAACCCTTCCTTTGTATATTGGTGTATACATGTCCTATCTCCCACATCCTTGAGGGCAGGGAGTCTGCCCCATTCTTCATCTTCTTTCCCAGCTTTGAGTCCAGAGCTTGGCATACAGCAGGTGCTTAATAAATTGAAAAGAAACTTATTTATTTATCCTCCTGACAATCATTAGAATGGGTCAGTCCCACTCTGAGTTCAAAAAGCAGATGAAATGGTGTCTCTCCCAAACGCCCGACGCACCTATGTGGTGTTGCTTTATTCTGATGTCACCTACAGAGATTCCCCCCGCTCCCCCCCCCGCCGGGCTCTTATTCGTTTATAGAAAGCCCCCCTACCCCATATAAAGTGCTTGGAAAGGGGGCTGTGAGTTTAGAGACTATGGATCTGGGTTTTAGCCTTTGTTCCACCATTTGCTTGCTGTGGGGCCTTGGGAAGCCCTTTCCCCTCTCTGTGCCTCAGTCTCCTCCTCTGTACAATAGGAGGGGTCGAAGTAGAAGACCCCCAAAGTCTCTCAAACTTAGGTTCCTGAGCAGCAAAATACCAGCACACTTCTCCTTTTCGGACACCAGGTGGCAGGCTTTGACTAGAAATGGGGGGGGGGGAGGGGTGCACGCAGCAGCACTAGACACAAGGGGGAGCTCCAGCTATTGGTTGACACCGCGGAGCCGTGCTCTGCCGTGGCCGGCGCGGAGCAGATGTGCCCCGGGGAGCTTAGGAAGGCCTGTGGTGGCCGACGGTGATCAGGGCCGGTTAGAGGGGCGGCCGAGGCCCACACGAGGCTCGGCGAACGAGCGCATTCGGCCTAGATTAGCCGGGAGAAGCGGAGGCGGCGCAGAGTCGGGCAGCCTCTTTTATAGTTCCAGCCCCGTGCTCGGCCCCGCTGTCTGCCACTCGCTTAAGATACGTGACCTTGTGACAGAGCCCCTTCTTTTCTCTATGCCTGAGCGTCTTTCTCTGTAAAATGCAGGAAAATGCATTCAGTCGGTTCCGCAAAAGCCCTTCTACCCCCCGCCTTCTGAAACCTGAGACACCAAGCACAAGACCTTACCCTGCTCTGACATGAGATGGCGCGCCTCGACTACAAACAATTGACCCTGCCCACCGCGCATACACCCTGCCCCCAGCACTAGGTGGCGCTCCTCGACTAGAAATCATCAGCCCTGGCGCCCTGCGCAGACGCAGTCGGTTCACCTGGTCACCTAGGGGTGCTTGACTTCACGGCGCAAATGCAGGAGGAGAGGACGAGAAGCTGGGCCACAAGTCAGCTTATCCGACCTGCATTTTCGTCAGGAGCTGCCAGAAGGGACCCAACCACCTCAATTCACAAATCTGGAAACTGAGGCTCGGGGAGAAGCTACTAAACCCAATCATGACGTGGCAAGGCCTAACTCAGGGTCCGTGTGTGGGGCTATTTCCGGTCTCGTACAGGATGGAGTTGCCCTAGGCCTTAAATTTACCTGAGGCCACCGTGGCTGGTACTCGGGCGACAGAGGCACTGAATGTCCACTGGCAGAGGAGCAGGTCCACCTTGGTGAAAACTGCCACGACGGCCGGGGACCCCGGGGTCCGAGCCTACGAAGCCCATCAAATCCTGTTGGCATGAAAAGTGCTTCGGACAAAACCGAGGTATGGTATTATTACCAGTTAGAAATTGATCAAGGTCTTAAAAGGACAGACCACGTTTTTTGGGTTATGCCCACCCCAAAATCAGCCTTCCTAACATAATGAAAAGCAGTTACCCAAAAGAAAGCAGCACACTGGCCTGGTCTAAGAGTGTCTCTGTACCCAGAGTCCACCACTTCTCTACCAAGAGGGAGGGAGGTTTTTTCATCCTAAGCACTGGAGAGATAAGCCTGGACATTTCATTTTTCTTAGTTCTGGCCTCGTTTGTGGTTATCCTAATCATTGCATATTTTTCTCTTGGTTCTATTGGTCATACATCTATGTAGACAACAAACTCTGGCCTATGTCTGTTAATTGTTCATATTCGTCTTTTCACCATTTATCTGTTTGGTCAAGCCCCAAACACTCAGTTTGCTTCTACCTTTTTGCTACCTCAAAAAGCACCTTAGTACACATATATGGGGGCTTGCTTGATCTTTTGTGTTTTAGTAGTGGGATCACTGGGTCAGAAGATGTGAACTCAAGAGTTTTATCACCTTTCCAGTAGCTTTCCAAAAAGTCTTAGAGAACAGTGGAGCCAGTTGTTGGCTGCTGTCCTCCCAGCATTAAACATTTTCATCTTTTTTATCTTTGCCAATTTGCTGGGCATGGAGTTAATCTCAGTTCCTTTAATTTGCATGTCCCTATTTATTAATGATTTGGGGCATGTTTTCATATGGATAATAGCTTTAATTTAAAAAAAAATTATCCTTTGCTAATCTCTGGGCTTGGTCATCTATATATTTATTAGTTCTGAATATTTCTTGGATATCTGCCTTATAGATTTTATTTTTATTGGCGATGAGGCAATTAGGGTTAGGTGACTTGTGCCCAGGGTCACACGGCTAGTAAGTGTCAAATGTCTAGCCTTATAGGTTTTGATATAAGAGTTTGCTCCCCCCCAAAAAAAAATACTTTCCCGTATTTCTTAGAATGATTGTGCAAAAGGGTTTTCAATTTTATGTCATCAGCATTATTTTGTTTTGTGGCCTCTTTTAGCGCATGATTGTGAATTTTCCTTAAAACCAAAGCTGTAGAAGATACTACTGTTAATCTGAATAATTTAACCTTTTGCCTTAAAGTTGCTGATAGTTTCGCAGCTTCTTTTGGCATATGGTATGTCGGTTCAAGCTCTCCCACCAGTGCTCACTGAACTAAAATGTAGTCTCAGAGTACCTGACCCTGGCTGATCACCTTCTGTCCTCTCTTCTACACTGTGGGCAATTGGAACACTGCTTGTTCTTGGTTCTAGGCTAGCCTGACAGCTCCTTCTGTCTTCTTTGCTGACCTGCATCCTGGTCATAACCACTAGCTGGTGGTGTCCTCATGGTGTGATGAGCTCCCATGTCCTCTCTTTAGGCAGCCCCAGTCTCTCTTGAGTCCCCATATCCCAACTGTCAGGTGGACAACTCAATCTTAATCAGCTTAGTTCAGGTCCTTGTCACCTCAAGCCTGGCCTAGAGCCTCCTAAAAAGGCTTCCTTTCCTGCCTCAAGCCTCTCCTTTCTTCAATACATACCCCTTATTCTCTCCCCCTTCCATTTACTCTAGCTCTTGTTTCCTTGTTGAGTTTAATGTCTTTTTGCATCAAATTTTGTGTTCAACCCTCTTTGGTCCACTTCGGTTGAGTGAACTCCTAATGCCCACTCCCCTCACCTCTTCCTCCATACTTGTAATTTTTCTTTACACTCCAATTATGAGAAATAGCAAGTTCTAGCCCCCCTTCTTACTTTCTACACATGTCTTCCTCTTAGCCTCTTCTCTTTTTCCCTCCTCAAACCCAGAATAGAATCAATCCACCCCCAGGTTCTCTGTTTTTTTATTTAGCTGTTTTTAAAACTTTGAAGACATTAAAATTCTATACACTGTTTTAATTCAGCTACTCAAAGAAATTTATTTTCCTAGATTTCTTTGGCCTTGTATTTTTTCCCCTCACAGCTTTGGTCTTTTCAGATACTTTAAAATTTTCTCTTCTACTAAGGCCCATTTTCTCCCTTGCAAGATTATAACTACCTTGCAGGGAAAGTTGTAAGCCTATCCCTTTACCTTTTGGAATAGTATATCGCAAGACTTCGAAATTTATCACTAGATCTGAACAGTCCTCTCTGATGCCCCATTCTCCCCCCCTCCCCCCAACAAGAACATCATGTTCCAATTCTGTAATCTAGGCCAATTGTTCTGGGCCTGACTCAGCCAATTCCATAGTAGTTTATGTAAAATACTGAAACAAAATGAAACACTCATACTAACTCAAAAGTTAACAAAAGCTGTAGAAAGACATTGAAAATATCTGGAGAACACTTTGAGTTGATTTGCAGGCAAAGCCTGTGCCCACTAGCAGCCACCAACACCAGAAAGGGGGGCCTGGAGCTCCTACTGGATGTTTTTGTATTCAGGAGACCAGGAATCGGTCAGACTGAGCCAACCAAGTCTTGAGGATGGTCTCAAAATATTTTAAGGAAAAATGAGCCTACATTGCAGTGGGATATGGATTTGTTAGAATATTGTTCTGACCACACGCCCTAATTCAAGTGCTTCTCACCTTCCACCTGGACTAGTAATATAGGCTCCTAACCGATCTCCCATCTCCAGTCTACCTTTGGCCCAGCATATATACTCAAAGCACATATTCAAAATCATGAGCCACTATTGTTTGTGATGTTTTCCTGTACAAACAGGTATAAGGCAAGGATGCTCTCTCCCCCCGCTATTATTTAACAGAATTCTGCAACTGCAAGTGTAGCAGGAAAAGAACAAAATGAAAGGTACAAACATCAGCAACAAGGACACAAAATTGTCCCTATTTGCAGATCACAAGATGGGCCACTAGGAAAACCCCAGAAAATCCCTCAGGAAACTAAAGTAAATACCTTTAGCCATGTAGCAGAATACAAAAAAATCAGCCATCAGAAATCACTATCATTTCTCTAACAGTACTAATAAATAAGCCAGTAGAAAAATTCCACTCAAAGTAACTTCGAAATGTGTAAAATAACTTTTGAAGTAAAATAACTTCTGTTGCTGCACAAGATTCATATCAACACAACTATAAGACACTCTCAAGCTTTATAGCAATTGCCATGTAGGTACTTATGAAAAATAATAAAAATTCATTTGGAAGAACAAATGGTCTAGAATCTCAAAGGAATCAATGAGAAAATGTATGAATAAAAGAGGCAGAGCTTATTTAGAAATGCTACTCATCTAAAACAACTTGATACTGTTTAAAAAAAACCCCAACAGAAAAGCACATCAGTAGAGGAGATGAGATAAATGACACAGAGGCAATAAAAAATAGTATCCTACTGTTTGATAAACATAAGAACAGAGATTACCAAAGGAATAGCTCCATTAATTTTTTTAAAGTAAAATGGGAAAGCAATTTGGCAGAAATGAAGTTTAGATCAGCTTCTTATGCCATATATATGTCTGTATATATAATACACACACACACAGATTTTCATACACATGAATACTACATCAGCTGGAAATGTATAGAGTACTGAGGAATTTAAGTGGTCAAACTATGATTCTAGAAGAGCCAGAACTCGCCCTCAGGCAGGGAGATGGACTTAAGAGTACAGACTGAGATACACACACACACACAAACACACTTGAACACGGACAATGTAGGGATTAATTATACTTGAAAATCTCTTATTTGTTATAGGGTTTTCTTTTTCAGTGTGGGGGTGGGGCAGATAAGAGGAAGAGAAAATAGATTTTTGTTAATTTAATTTTTAAAAATTAAGGGGAAAATTCTTAAGCATAGAGATCATAAAAGATAAAAGACCACTAACTATGGCTACTAAAAACTTAGATAAAACTCTGATATCCAAGCATTTAGAGAATTGACAGAAATAGATAACTTTCCAATAGCTGAGTGGTCAAAGGATAGTTTTTGAAAGAATTAAAGGACCTATGATCCATCTGAAAACTCTCTGACAAACTAATAAAAAATTCAAATTAAACCTCTGAGGCTTTACCTCACCAGCTGCAAATGGGCACAAGAGGAAAAAAAAAATGGGAACACAAAATGTGGAAAGGGATTTCTGTAACCAGCACACTAACTACACTGTTGGAACTGGACGCTGGTTCATTCATTCGATATCAATTAAGAATTACACAAGAAAAGTGACTCAGTGTTTATACCCTTTGACCCAGTAATCCCTCTATTAGGCATGTACCCCAAAGAAGGGAGAGAAACCAAAGGTCTGTTAAATACTAAAATTCATGGCAACACTCCAGCAGAGAACTATAAACCAAAATTCTGTCATGTCAATGTAATGGAATATTAAGGAATGATGAATAAAGACTTTGGAATTCATGAGAGCTGCATGAACTACTAGAGAGTGAAATAAGTGCTAAGAGAGAACATGCAAAAACAATGACATCACAAATTAAATGAAGTGATCCCTAAAGGAAGTCAAACTGAAATGGTCTTAGAGACACATAGTGACTACACTGTACATACTGTCAGGTGCCATCACTGTAGTGGATATTTTTGCTTAACTTTTTCATAAGTTAAGGTTCAGTCTGGAGGAAGGGGCTGAAATGACTGATGTAAAAGACAAAAGTCAATCTTTTTTTTTTTTAAAGAGACAGCCTTTATTTTAAGCATTTTGCATTATAGATTTCAAAAGTAAAATGTCCAGAATGTCAATTCATCTTTAAAAGAAAACTACTTTTGACTGGCGAGCACAGAAAGGAAATAATTTGTAAGAGTGGGACAGACAGCTCAGCGAACTTTTTTTTGGCTTTTCGTTCTATTGCCCATCTCAATAAAATTAATTCTTTGATTCCATTTTAACCCTGTTAGCAACAATAACCAAAGTTGTTGAAATAATAATGTAATTCCAGGAGATAGATAGGGTTATCATAAAATAATCAAACCTCTTGGATTCTGTAACAGAACTGGAACAGATATTGAAATTGACTGCTCCCTCTTTGACACCGAAAAGGTGTTAACTAACAATATTCAATCACTTCTCTGCATTTTCATTAACATATAAAATTAAATTACCAATTTAAAAAATCAATATATCCTCTTTAAACATCTCTTACATTCACAATACTTTAACTATTTCAATTCAGTGTCGGTGTGGTTTAAGTAATTTCCCATTCATAAGTCAAACAGCAATTCAAGCAATACAACCCACCCAGGGGTAGTGATAGTCTCTTTAGGTTTTGTAGTGCAAATGAAACAGCAATCAGAACTGCAGCAACTGTTTGACATTCCTAAAATATAAAACAGACAAGATACAGTACATGCAAAAAGCTCTAATAAGCAGATGGTCACAGGGCTGAAACATTGGACAAATTTAGCTGGTGGTCCAGAGGTGAAGTTGATGGGTTTCCCCAAAGTGTTTCAAAGCTTCTCTGCACACCAAGTTGCATCTCATGCTTTGTACTTGTCTTTGCCAGTCTCACTAATGACACAGACATGCTGAGGAAAGAAAAGCCGGAAGGAGATGTTAGGAACCAGGATGATTGATCTCGGAGGCAAGAATCAATTGCACATTCTAAGAAGCAAGACAAGATTTGTGTTTTATGTTCAACTTGGCGTTTTCCCCTCATCTCCTCCAACTCTTTTCACAAAGGTATCTGTGTGACTCTTGCCATTGGGAGGGTGGGATTCTGACATCTTAAGGGGGAATGAATGAAACCTCTCTTTAAGTTTAGTTTCTCATGGACAAATAACAAGAGAAAGTTGTTCAAGGGCTCCAATCAGCAGGAGCCTTCCCTGGCCTGGTCAGGCGCCAGCTGCAAGAATGTCTGTTCTGGACAGGAGCTTAATGTGCCTAATGGGAATTACCAGACTGTTTAAATTATGAGGCATAGAGAAGCAAAACAATTTTCTTTCTGAAATGTTATGAAAAACGAGAGCATTACTTACGTTTAAGTCCCTGAAGTATTCGTTGTAGTCAAGGGCATATCCAACGACAAATTTGTCTGGAATTTCGAATCCAACAACTGAAAAGAATCACAATTTATGACTAAGATAAAGAAAACATAATGTGGAGAAATCAAATGCTTGCCAATGAATCTTCCCTACACAGTTTTAAGTCTCTTTATGTCATTTTATCTATTAAAAATTTTTAGGCTAAAATTCATGAAACTGAAAAGCAATTTACTTACAGTCAGGCCTGTATCCTACACTTCGAGGTGTTCTTTTCACCAGCAAGCTGTTAAAAAAGTAAATTACAGATACACAGATGAAAGACAAGAGATGCTCAAGCATGTTGGAACTGGAGACAAGTTCTATTCTCCCCTTGTACCGAACCTTGGAAATCCAATAGACAGGTCTGAGTGCAAACTTTCAAAATTAAGTCAAATTATGGAGGGTGTGGGGGAGGGGACTACTACAAAGAGGCCCCTTCAGTCTAGAAAGATGAATAAACAAAAAGGATAGATAAGCAATAGCTGTGTGATCATAGAATGCACGGAGATGATAAACATGAACTCATTTATCAGGTCCTGGAGCTCATTTAAATGAGCTTTTTTTTAAAATATAAATTTATTTATTTTTAGTTTTCAACATTCATCCACAAGTTTTTGAGTTCCAAATTTCTCACCCCTCCCCCCACCCCAAGATGGCATGCATTCTGAATACCCTTCCCCTAGTCTGCCTTCTCTTCTATCTCTCCCCCCTCCCTTCTCTTATCCCCTTCCCTTTCTATTTTCCTGTAGAGCAGGATAGACTTCTGTACCCCATTTCCTGTTTAAATGAGCTTCTTGAAAGCTTAAAGGCTAACAAAAACTACTATACAGCAACTGCTGAACCAAAACTCAAAGGACTTTTTTTTTTTTACACATTTCAAATTAAAAACTGATTTACTATCAGGATGACGTACCTGGCTACCTTCACCATCTTTGGATTATACTGCTTGACCAGAGAAAGCAAAGTCTGCATCGTTTTACCCGTGTCAATTATGTCCTGATCATAAAAAAGAAGAACATATTAAAACGGCAAAGGAAACTAGCACACCTTCAACCCGTGGAGCAACTTGTTGTAGACAAGAAACAGCAATGGAAGATGAGCAGATGGCCAAACAAGTCTGTTACCACCACAAATGGTAACACTAGGCAGTCATTTATATGATGTCTCCATGAGGCCTTTCTCTGCATTCTTGGGACAGAGGCAAAGGCAGTGGGTCCTCAGGCCTCCTGATGGGGTTTTGGGGATACCTGGAGCTCAGTGATACCTCACGTTTCAGATTGCAGTCATGCACATCTGCATTTCATTATTTAAAAATATTAAGTGCTCCAAAGACCTCATAGTTCAGCTTCTCGTGAATTAGACATAGTAAGTTTTTATTGTGAAGTACAGATTATTAAGTAATAAAACCCACTTCCACAAGTCAAGTATGCTAATCCTGGATATGCATGAAAGTAGGAGGGTACTCCATGGGACAGGGGGAAAAGTGTTGGTGCTGAAACTAGAGTACCTGGTTTTGGCCTGGTACAGCCAGAAGTTAAATCTTGGTTTTCTGACTCCAAACCTAGCATTTTTTCTACTCTGTCATATTTCTTTAACTTGTTTACATGGTAATGGGAAACCATCTTTTGGAGAAAAGAGTATATGACCATTTCATGTGACTGCAGTTATGACTATAGGACCATACTTTCAAAAGGTTTTGCTGTTAATTGATTATAGGATCAATAATTTTGAGTAGAAAAACCTTTGAGGTTAGCTTAGTCCAAACCCCTCAATTAGAATTTGGGAAAGAGAAGCCCATCCCTGCCTGCCTCAGTGGCCATCAACCCCCCCCCAATCTGAAGGTGTTACAGGCTCTGCCTCCTTCAGCAATCACCTACTGAAGACCTGGAAAGGAAAATCCTCAAAACCAAAGTCTTTGACACTGGTAAATTGTTCAAAATCAGGAACAGATATGACTTTATCAGTGGACATGACACTAAAGAATATACATTACTATCTACCTGGCTGCTGCTCCCTAAGATCCATGGGGCCTTTCCATCTGAAACCTTAACTTTCTTTTTTTCATTCATCACTTAAGACCATACAGATTGGAAGTGGCAGAGCCAGAATTTGAATTGTGGCTTCCTTTGATTCCAAAGCTAATGGGACTTGGGTTCAAATCCCAGCACTGTCTGGCCTTGTGCAAGTCACACAGCTTCTTGGGGTTCAGTTTCCTAAATTCAAAACAAGAGGGTTGAACTAAGATGACCCTGAAGGTCTCAATCTTTGATCCTAAGATCAATAGGTACACGACATTTCTTAAACATGGTCCTGTGGTTCAATGCAGAAACACAATCCCATAAAATTGTCAACATCCTTTTCTTCTTTCTACCAATCAGAAAAGGATTCTCATCTGGGAGGATGTAAAGTAATGTGGTACTATGAAAAGGAGCAGAGCAGCTTAGGCTGTGCCCCATAGCACCTGCGTGGCTTGCGTGGCCTAGCGCTGGTCACTCGGCCTCTCTGGGTGTCAGTTTCCTCCTTTGTAAAAGAAGAGAGTTGGGACGGGATGGCCTCTAAGGTACCTCCTAGCTCTAAGTCTCTATGCTATGTCTGTCACTTGAATATGTATTTTTTTTTTTTAGAAATAAGTTAGTTTGCAACTGCTGGCTGACAAGGCTAACGTGTAACCATTTTACTTCAAACAATCAGGGAACACTTTACATCGTACTGGACTGACGTTCATGTTAAAAAACTGCACGTGAACAGTTTTAGTTATTTCCAATTAAGACTGCTTTTAAACATAGTTGTAACTGAATTCCAGCACTGGGAAATGGGGTTACATATCACATTAGAAACATGTATAAGCCCCACTTAAATAAAAACAAACAGGGATATGGGCTTGAATCCCATGTTCTTCCATTATACTAATATCTCCTGGTAAGAAATAAATCAAGTACACAGCAGCAAATATATTTAAGAACTGTCAACTATTAGTTGCCAAGAGGGATCACTTCATTCAATTAAAAAAAGTTCTGGGGCTGTACAAAGTACAGATTCCCATCATTCTGTGTGACACCTGGAACTCTTGCCTCCAGGTTGCAAATGTTTGTCCTCTTAGGGTGGCTCTGATCTGGGTTAACAGCCCTAAGTCATGGAGAGACACACAAAAGTAGCCTGGGAGCCAAGAGGCGAGGCCAGGTCCACCCTAGCTAGAGGGACTTTGGCTGAGTCAGTTAGCCACTAGGAAGGCCTCTGTAAAGGCAGGTTAATGATAACCTCCCCTGGCTGTTGTGAGTAAAGTGGGTGTAAATCTGAGTTTTCCATAATATACTAACAGCAGCTGTAACTCTAGCTTGAGGCAGTTGAGTTAGTGAAGAGATAGCCAGCTCTGAAGCCTGGCAGGGACCTGAATTTGAGTCCCTCATTGGACACACACACTGGCCCTGCCTTTGGGAGAGCCACATGGTTTACCTCCAACTCCATTACAGGAAGTTCCCGTGCCTGCACATTGAATGAAATCACAGGCCCATTCCCCATCTCTATAATTATGGTCACTGGAGTAAAGTGTCATAAATAAGGTCAAGCAGCGGAAGAAGAGGAGCCATTTTTGTGAAAAGGGACTTTGAAATAGTAACACTCAGTTGGCTATTTAAGTTCTTGAACACTTACATCTTCAAAAAGCCTCACTACTTCACATTTGCACCACTTCAATGGGCCCCCTGACGAGATGGCTCAGGTTCCAAGAATCCATTCTTTTTCTATTTTTACCTCTAAAGGTGTTTTAAGTTATAAATGTCTCCAGAATCCTCTTCTGCCTCCTTGCCTATTGCATTTGCACTCTGAGAAACGTCTGCTCTGAGGCTCTCCTCTCCTAACCGGCTGACTCCACCCCCACTGGCCCCATGGGGAATAAGCTACTTCCTCCCGCCTCCCCTCTCTTCAGCCCCCATTAGACTATCAACTCCTTGAGGGGAGGGACTAGCTTGCTTGTATTCCTAGTGCTTAGCACAGTACCTAATAAACATTGGCACTATTCCATTTAAATCAATCACAAGAAAAAATTCAAACAGAATCATAGTACTTACTTCAACAATCAAGACGTTCTAGAAAAAAGGAAAGAAGGTGAAGTCATTCTTCAGTTCAAGTCAGAAAGTGAATGTTTTCAATTCCCAACCCCATCCCATCACTAGGGTAATGCTTTCCAAACCTTGAGCTAGAGGCCCACATGGATGGGGCTCTAACTCTATGTGCATAGAGTTTAAACATCCCTTCAAGTAGACAGACTGCCTCACACATACATGTATTCATTTTCCCAATGTATATAGACACTGTTGTAATCAATAAGACACATTCAAAGTGCTACTGGATTCACAAGAACTTTTTTTCATCAAGCACCAAGTATTTATTTTCCTCATCAGTAGATACGAAGTGTCCTATCCAATAGTAGACTCCTATTATGTAGGGAGCTGTGAAATTTCTTGATGCTACAAGGGGTCCTCAAATTTGAAAAGCTCTATGCAACTGTGCTTATGGAACATTGTTTAAAATAAGTGGTCCATCAATATGGAAAAATTCAATATAATGGAGTTAGAATAAGCTCTTGGGGCCTTAGGTCCCTTCCAGCTTTACATTTATGATTCTAAGCCTGTTCATCTCCCTGGGCCTGTTTCTTCCACAGTAAAAAGGGAGGAGGTTGGACTAGGCCTTAGAGGTCTCTTCCATCTCTCTACATCCAGAATCCAGGCTATGGAAAGTCAGAGTTGCAATTCTGGGCCACAAGTTATACTACATTGGTTTCTGCTAATATAATCTTGTACCTTCAAACAACTACGCCTTAGGAAAATCACTGGAGCATCTATGTGGAGGATGAATCGGAGAGGGGAGAGACCAATTAGAAACCAGTTCCAAAAATCTCAGCAAAAGGCGATGAGGGTCGTGAGTGCAAAGAAGCTGGAATGGAACTAAGAGGTTTTGGAAAGATGGAATTGGTTGTCTGTGGAGAGTGAAGGAAAGGCATGAGGCCAAGGAATACTCCAAAGTTGTGAACCTGGGTGACTGGAATGATAGAGGTAACTCTTGAGAGAAATAGGGAGGTTAGGATGGAGTCAGTCTGGGCAGGGTGGGGTCAACAGAGCAAATTTTGTTTGAACACCAAGTTTGAGATGCTATACATCTATCTCAAAGCTGTCTGGGTGGCAAATATTCTTTAAAATGTGTTTGCAAGCCCTGAAGATATCCCTGAAGTCCTATGTTGTCTTAAGCTTTATTGAGCTTATATGCACCCATACATATAAAATTAAAGAACTCTACATTTCCTAACAGGTAATAAGACTCCACAGTGTCTGGACAAAGCCATGGTAGCATCAACTATAACGAGTCTTTTAACACACAATGCTCTTTCTTTCTAATTCAATATACAAACCTTTCCAGTTAAAGTTGAGAGATCATCTCCACCAATCACTTTTATGTCCCCTGTTGACTGGTCATTCTGATTGAAAAGAAAAAGTATTTCCAACACTCCAATTATGACAGAAGAACCAATGAGAGGATTTCAGAAGGTAGCTCTCCATGCCACTGGGACATTACGACATATATAGTTAGATAGAAGGATGAAGGGAACAAATTCCTAGTAATTGTTAACTGGGGAGTCACAGGAAATGTTTCTTAGTACCTAGGGGGTTGGCACGAAGGTGGGAGTAAGAATACAGGTATAGGAAAATGCTGTTGGGACCCTGGCCTGCAACAGCAGCTTGCCATAACACGGGCAGCATACTCTGGCAGTGTTTAGCACGCTGCTAAGCTGCTAGACATCTTAAACTCTTTCTTGCTAACCAAAAGAATTTCAACTTAGTATCTGGGGGTTATTTTTTCTGTGATTGCATCTCCAGCTTTTTAGTGGGAGTCTAGGGATAAATAGGATTCAGAAATGTAGGTAGATAAGAAAAAAAAATTAAATTTGTAAATAGCTGCTTTTTGCAGCCAGGATTAACTAAACAGGCAACATACACTTAATTGTTTGTTTATTTGTTTCTCTCAATGCTCTTGAGAGTGGTGGCCTGGTTTAGTGGAGAGAGGGTTAGCCTTAGAATTAAATCAAACCAACCAGCCAACCCAGTCCTACCTCTGATAACAAGCAAATCACTTATTAAAGCATCAGGCAACTCTTAAGTCTAGATAGTTACAGCTGAGCTGCTGATGGACTACCATCAGTGGAGGAAGTCCCCACACTGATGGATGGACCCCCCTCCCCCAATTTTATTAAAATGCTGAATTTATTTCACTTCCCTTTGTCTGACTGCCATCCCTACTCTCTTCTGTCATATCATTCCAAATATATGTACCCAATAAATGAATCCAAGGGAAGAAGTGCACTGTTAAAAACTAATGGACAACATATTCTTGGCAAAGTATTCTGGATGACATCTATCAGATTCAGTGGGAAAAGTTTTCATTCTGCATTATAAAAAGGACAGCTAAATATCAACTATTACTGAAATAAGATGTTGGGAAATTTTTTTAAACAAATTTAAAATTATTTTCTAAGAAAGATTTCAATAGGTTGAGATGTTGAATAGCCTCTGGATTGAACATCCTGAAGCAATTCTTTAGCGTTGTGCAATTTGCCTTCTACTTCGGGAAAAGAATAAACTACCCTTTTCTATGCTTGCCTGAATGTTTTCTTTAATATCCTCAGGAGAGCTAGCTTCTTGGGGACTTAGAGGAGTCTTTTCCTCACTTTCGAAGGACTCCTGGCTTTTTGATTTGGGTGTAACCGGCTCGGAATCTGTCGTCTCCTCCTCTGTGTTGGGCGTTTGTCCATTCTGTGTTGGACTATCAGGATCAGACTTGTTCTCTACAGGATTATTATTTTCAACGTCCTCCTCTTCCTCCTCCTCTTCCTCCTCCTCTTCTTCCTCCTCTTCCTCCTCCTCCTCTTCCTCCTCCTCCTCTTCCTCCTCTTCCTCCTCTTCTTCCTCCTCCTCCTCCTCCTCTTCAATCTCCTCTACCTCCTCCTCATCCTCCACCTCCACCTCCTCCTCATCCTCATCCACCTCTTCTATTTCTTCCTCATCCTCTGCCTCATCATCATCTTCTTCCTCCTCTTCCTCTTTTTCCTCCTCTTCTTCGTCTTCCTCATCTTCTTCAGACAGTTTTACCTTTTTCAGTGGAATCTTGTCATCAATTTCAGAAGCAGCTCTCTTGGCAGGAAGATTTACAAGTTTCACATTATTTTCTTCTACTTCTTCCTCTAGCGCGACTAGGTGCTGGCCACTAATGTACACAGGCCCAGAACCACATTTTAGACGTAAAACAACCGGTGGGGTAATCTCAAAGCCACCAAGTGAAACTGTGGGCTGCACAGACAATTTCAGTGATGCCAGGGTGACTGTAGTTGGGCTGCCTTCGAAATTCAGGGCCTCGGCTTCAACGACATGCAGTTCATCCTTGGCACTAGCTCCTAAGCTCACTGTCCTCAACGAAAGCTGCTGTTCAGTTTGCTCATTCACCACCTTGAAGTGGAAATCTTTGTCTGCCTTGAGTTCACAACCGAAGAGGAAGCTTTGCGCCCGGATGTGGTTCACATCCATATCTGTGTTCTCCGAGGGGCAGCTGTATGAAAGGCAGCGAGCAATTGGGGTGGGGTGAGCAACGGGTGGCTGCTGGACTCTGTCTTCCGTGGGGTTCTGCTCAGGATGGAATCACACAGAAGAAAAAAAGCAGGAAAGTATATTCTTTCAGGCCATTAGGACAGTGCTTTCCAAATATTTTCAGTCTACCTGTTAACTTGTTGAGAAGCATTCATTTCCCCTGCAGCCAGCTAGTCAGAGAACCAAACATGTCTTCCTCCACCTTTTATAACCCTTGACCACATTCTATGCATGTATATATTACATACATACAAAAATGTCTACAGAGCATACAGCTCAAGGATCTGTCAGCGCAGGCACCTCTTCCCATTGACACAAACTGTGACCTTTCCATGACTTCAGAGGGTCCTTAAGAGTTGCTGTGACCAAAAAATTCATCACCATGTGGCCAGCCTGGTAGTATAAGCCTTTCCACACTTAGCTGGCCTGGTTTTAGAACAGACATACAGACTATAACCAACCAGGCCTATACCTGAAGCCTTTCCAACTTGGTAGAACCCTGCTAGGGCCTGGAGAACTCTGGCTTATCCTCCAAGGACCCAAGTTCAACTTCACATTATAATGAGGCATCAGAACAAGACTTAAGTGCGTGTACCTATAGCTTATGATATACATGCATACATTTATACATGTATTACACAGATATACATGTGTACAACACACAGATGCCACACACATTACACATATACCTGCACATGTGTATACATACGTATATGTATGTATGTGTATGCATGCACAGAGACATACATACATTCTAGCCATACTCCCTTTCCTCCGTTCAAATCTTAGGAAAGGGATGTGAGAAGATAAATCTACAAATATAAGGGACTGGGATAACAACAAATCTTTATTAAGCACTTACTATGTGCCAGGCACTGTGCTGGCATTTAATACCACATAGTACCGTCAACTGCTACTCTGGGGCACACAGTCTTCAGATCTGTTTAGTCTGTGGAACCTTTTGTTCTTTTCTTTTTGGGAAATGCCAGAATCCTGGGTTGGGGCCAGGGCTTAATACTGGTGAAGGCACAAATTAAACACATTCACCACAACCACACTTTCTTTCTTGGAGTCTTCATTAAATCCTGAAAACTGAGTTCTATGGACCACAGACTGAAAAACTACCACCTACAGCTCCAAAGGAATGAATAGGTCTGCCTAAAACGTTGTCTAGGCACCCAAGTAATTGGGAAAGGGCCACACCCCATGTCTGCGGGCACTGGTCTTTGAGTTGGTTTTAATGGTTTCCTTATTACCATCACAGGTAGTACCTATGCCCATTCCTAATCATTTAAATCAAGTGGGTTTTCTTGCTCTGCCCTTTGGTGCAGTCTTGAATTATATTTGCTTTTTATATGTTTATAGAAGATAAGCTTCAAGCAATCTAATGTCAAGATGTATAGCACTATTTAACCTCAGAGTTAGTGACTACATACACATGCACACAAAGGTCAAGCTGAAAAGCTACAACAAAAAGGACTAGAAGAAAACACATTGTGAACCACAATTATCTTTTCCCACTCTGGTCAGATCACAATCTGAGGTATTGTGTTCAGGTCTGGGTGCCACATTTGAGGAAGGACATTGCCAAGCTGGAGCAGCTCCAGAATAGGGTGACCAGGAGGCCAAGGGAACTGAAGGTCATGTGATACAAAGATCAGTTGAAAGACCTAGGGATGTTTAGCCTGGGAAGAGAAGACCTGGGGGTAGGGTGGGAGGAGGGTGGATGATTTGAAGTGCTTAAAAGGCTACTATGGGGAAGAGGTATTGGACTTATTAGGCCCCAGAAGGGAGAACTAGGAGCAACAGGTAAAGGTTTGGCCTCAATGTAAGAAACAACTTCTTAGCAATCAATGGAATGGGCTGCCCTGGGAGGTAGTAGGGTCCCCATCACCGGAGTTCTTCAAGTGGAAGCTGATGACCACTTATTCAGACATGAATTGGAATAGACGACCAATTGTCCTTTCCAACTCTGAGATTCTTATGGTTTTTCTAAGTATTATCAGCCATCAAATGGCAACTTTTACACTGATGTTTGTGTGTATGAAATAAACTTTGAAACATCCATATCTGCAGAGCTCTCCTCCAATGCTTTACTGTGGCACAGGGGTAGCAATAGTTGTTCAAGCTCTGGCAGGCTCTACTACGCTGTAAAGGCTTTGAATAGGTCTTGGCAACAGACCAAGTCTGCTTTCCAAGGATCAGCCTAGCTAATTATGGGGAAGCTCATCGCCAGTAAGTTAGCCACTTGGTAACGAATTCTTTGGCCATGGCAACCCCAGAACAAAGAAAAATACAAAATGGCCAGCATTTCTCCATCTGCTACTGGACTGATGAGGATTAAGTGGTGAAGGGGGCAAAGGGTGATCTGTATGAAGCTAAAGATTAAGGTGAAACATAGGGTCAGGTTCAAATACAATCCTTTATTTGCCCTGTACTTCTTTGTCTATGGAAATGTTGACAAGTTTATAAAAAAATTGGAAAAAAAAGATTAAATTGGCCTTTGGTGCTCTAAACTTGAGATCTTTCTTTGTCCAGGGAATGAGGGGACATATTACTAGAGGAATGAAATCCTGTCGATCTCAATACTCTTGCTATAAATGAGCCCAGAAGAGAAGAGGAAGCTGCAATATATTACCAGCCAAGAATTGTGGAGAAGTGGTATAAAGGATGTCACCAGAGAGATGCAGAACCGGAAAGGAAGGTGGGTCAGTCATGTAGTGAGAGCAAGGGACAACAGATGGACAAGCCGTACACTCCAATGGTATCCGTGCGTTGTCAAGAGATCTAGAGGAAGGCTCCTATCCCAGCACGTTGGGTGGACTCCCTGTGGAGGATCTACAGGAGGACATGGACAAGAGGCGCACAGGATAAGAAGGCGTGATTGGCGTTGCGGATCTGCATCGCTGGAAGGAATGCCCGGATCAAGGAGATCACAGATCTATCCAAGTGCCTATAAAGTCATTTTAATCTTGAAGCAGGAAGCAGCTGCTTATTCGTGACCCATAGCAAGTGAGTGTCACTGAAGACTGACGGTTGTGACTTGGCTGTAATGAATGAGGAATGCTGCTGTAAGAGGCGAAAATGAATAGCTGATTTTCAACCAGAAATCTCTACTAATATGGAATGAAGAAAGAAATAGGGCATGATACCCAAGGGAGGTGTGAACATTTGTCAACAGATCATAATTCTTAAGTTTCCCATGTGGTGTGAGATTTCAAACTCTTCACAGATTTTTTTTTTAAATGGGAAAGAAGAAATTGGGGCAGAAGGGAGGGAGAGGCAGGAGAAAATAGCAATATCAGAAAGGAATACATTTTGTTTTTAAAGGAGAGGAGTTTAGAAAACACTTTCTTTAACATCACTCATGGTCAGACTGATCTTGTTTTAGGCACATAACAGCTCATTTTAATTTTCCCTTTGATTATTGACTATGACACAAAAATGGCAAATGCCTATCACCCTTACCTGTCATGAACAGAGAGCCGGGGCAAACTCTCCTACTGTTCAGACTTTATTGCCCTCACAAAATACTTTAATACAAAATTTATTATAGACTGTGAAATGAAATCAAAATTAAAAAGGAAATGACACTTGCACGATGCATCAGTAGTGTTCTTTATTTCTTTGCATGGTAAGAAAATTCAATAACTTACAGAAAGTTTCATGATTAGTATGGATTAGCTAGCTTACAATTCACTGTTTTAAAATAACTTTAAAACAAGTGGTCAGAGATCAGCATGTGAATTCATTTTTTCCTCCTCCCATTAATGTTAGCTGATCCCATAAACAATTTTAATCTCCATTTCATGGCTTTATGAAATTAAGCTTCCAATTTTTAAAACTTTCCACTACCTTTCCCCATGTATATACTTGAAATACACTCTTTCATGATTCACTGCCCTCTTCCCAAATTTTTTCTAATTATTTCTGGAAACAAATGTTTTTCAACAGCAGATTTTTTTTAAAAGTGCAAGTTAAAAGATTCACATGGATAGCCACAAGACAGAAATTAGTTAATTAGCATTTTTAAAAAGAATTATTTTTGCCTCCACTAAAGTCCTATGCCTCAATGTGATGTGGTAGGTACCCTGGATTTTCTAAACCTATACCAGTGGAGCACGTGCTCCAACAGGTCCTACCAAGCTGGAAAGGCTTCGAATACAGGCCCTGTGATGTCTGTCATTTGAAGAGAATTCCAAGTTTGGAGAGGGCAGAAGGGGAACGAATGACATTTTTAGCTACAGCAACTCTGTGCCAACCAAGTTACAGAAGGGTTGAGATCTGCATCAATGGAGAGGATATCCATTCTAATGAAATTACAGATCCCGAAAGTCCTCAAGAATTTTGGCTGGCAGGGGAACATTCGAAGAATTTGATTTTCCCCTTGTTTTCAATTTTTAAGACAGTTTTAGGCAGAGTCTGCTCCAATTTCTTAAATAAAATTCTATAGGAAAATCGGAGTAGAAAAATCTGCTTCTCTTTTTAAATAGTAAAAAACTAGACATTTTTAAAACTGCAAGTTTTTCATTAATCTAGTTCACCTTAATAATCCTTTAGGATCTAAACACAACCTAAGTAACTTTAATGTGAATAAAAATCTTAAAAACAATTAAATCTTAAGATATGCACATGCCCTTCCTTGAAGTGCAGCTATTAAGAACATCAGAAAAGAATATTTAATTCTTAACACTTCCTAGTTCAAAATAAATAGATTTCATTCAGTACAATTATTTCTGACATCTACTATTCTCTGCTCTGTTAAAGGAAAAAGTTCTCTGTCCAATTTCCTAGGCATATGAGTTCTGGTCATAAAAAAACAATTCCAATTTTCTCAGGTGGCTAGTGGAAGAGGCATGGACCCCCTCATAATGGAGACATATTGCAACAAGTTTTAACTTGCAACAGCTGCAACCTCGAGGTCAGTTGGCCTTGCCACCAACAGCTGCGGCTAATGAATGGGGGTGAGTGTTGTTTTGCTTGCTCACAAAAAAAAAGGAAAAAATGAATGACCCTTATTTAGCACAAAGATTCTCAAATTTTGTGTGCAGTTAAACAAATGTGCAAGTGAAACATCTGGCATGTTACAAGAAGCTTTTGGGATGGAGTAACGTCTGGCCAGAGCTTGAGTTGGCACAAAAACCTGTAAGATGGTGGTGGGGAAGACAACATTCACACTAAATGGTTTGGCCTATTGCCAACAGAGATAAGTACCAAAGGATTAGTTCCTTCAAACAAGCAAACCATTGTGCGAATGAGGCCGACTCCCACACCCCAGTTCAAATTGAAAGAGAAAGCATTCTCAAAGAAAACCCACATGTGAGGAGTTTCTGTGCCACCCATTCTAAGTAAAGAACAGAAATAGTGAATATGACATTGGCTCTGATCTTTTGAGTGAAGTGAGAAAAAATAACAGGCTTTTTTGAGGAAGCAAGTAATCAGGATGAAAATAAAGAGTGTTTCCAGCATGATGATTTGGGGGGGGGAAGGTGCTCAATTCTACAGTGGAAAATTACAGGAGTCCCAAGACACCCAAAAGTGTATATATTCAATCACAAATGGACACAGCACTCTCATTGTTCATACAGAATTCATCCCCATGACAATTAAACAATTACTTCTGCAGAAATTCAGAAGCAATAGAGAACTTTCTGTGGGAAGCAAAAAACAAAAACAAAATCTGATTGGTTTCTTCATCATAGCTCAGACAGTTGCTCAGACCATAAGTTACTGATTGGGAAACAGGTTTTTATCAAAAAATTATATTATGTAACCTACCTTATTGAGGCTCAGCTCCAAGCAGCATTTGGCTTTTACTCAAAATCCAATATATCCTCTGAGGACATATACTTACCTCAAGTGCAGGCATGTTACAAATGCCAAAGGCAGTTTTTTAAAGCCACAACTTACTTAAATTCATGTCATAGATTTACTTTTGTCTTGAAAGCAAACTAAATGAAATTGAAAACCATAGAATTTAGTACTTCAGAGAACCAGTGGCTCAAGCTTTACAGAAAATGGACAGAAAACCTCCAGTTCCCATGTAAAAACACATTCCTAACAATCCTTCCACAGTGGGCTCTGCAATCACCTTAAACAACCTTGAATATACTTACACAGTAGCTCTTCAATCTGATAAAATCTACCGTCATAGGAATTGATTTATCACTATTCCTGTTCAGTGCCTTGATATAATCCAGCAAATCAGCAAAGAATTTATAGCCACCCTTGAGGACACAGAGGGCAACGATATGGTGGCCTCCCATCTCTTTCATCACATCTCGTGCCAAACGTTCGGTCCTAATTAGAAAAAACCCAAAAATTTAATAGAATGTGTTTAATATTGAACACTCTTCCCTAAAACTCTCTGAGCCTGAGTCTTGAACTGTATTAATCTACCCCACCCCTTACTGCCCCCCCACAAAGAATTCTCATTTTATTAGGGTAAAAAGCAATTCACTAGAAAGCCAAGCATACAGGGAGACACATACAGTATCCAACAATCAATTTCTTCCGTGCAACTTGTTGCACAGAAGACATGACACCATTTATTTTTAGAAGAATGTCTGCATACTCCAGATGCACAGCCTAATTTGGTCCATTGCTCAGTAATGAGAAGGCAAATATACAACTCTAGAACTTTCACAGAAGTGTTCCCCATGCTCCCCAGCATCTCACCTGGGGTTCTACTTCTCCAGTTCTATAATACTCATCACTATAGATCTTCACTATCCAATGAGGTTTTTAAATTTTGAAATAGTTTCCTGGATACTTTTGTTTTTCACAGTCATTTTCCAACACAATTAAACAAAGGAAATTATCTCTACTGGGATCCCATCTGATGGTGTATGGACACTCTGTATCTGTAGTCTACCACCTGAATCATCCAAGGAGAGAGGTATGTGTTTGTTTCATCATCAGCCTTTTGGTTTTTGGTTTTGTTTTTTTTTTTTAAGTGAAGAGGATTTTAAAATATGAAGAAGTATAAGAAAGGTAGCATAACACAATGGCAAGAGAACTAGACCCGGATTCAGATGACCAGGGTCCAAATCTCAGCTGTTTAATTTCTTTAGGCCCCAAACAATCATAGAGGTAAAACTGGAATGGACCTGGGGGCCAATTTGTCCAATCCTCTTATCTTACAGGTGACAGGACTAAGGACTAGATAGGTTAAATGTCTTGCCTATTATCACAGAGCTAACAACTGTCAGATTTTGAACCCAGATTTTCAGTATTCTATCTAAGTTCAATACTCTACTTTCATCATGCCAATTTCCTGATGAGACTTGATTGGACTTGATGGTCTAGTTTTAACACCTAAGTCCTATCTATATCCAACATGCCTTTAGTTGTAACAAATAAAGTTTTCAAACCTTTTACATACATTAGTAACCAACATTTTTTTTAAAATCACATCAGTTTTGTGATTAAAAAATAAATTATGGGGGCAGCTAGGTGGCGCAGTGGATACAGCACTGGCCCTGGATTCAGGAGGACGTGAGTTCAAATCCAGCCTCAGACACATAACATTTACTAGCTGTGTGACCCTGGAGAAGTCACTTAACCCCATTGCCTAGCCCCCCAAAAAATTACAATTGTAAAGACTTGACGTTTGCATCAATTTAAAGTCTCACTGACCTGTCCATGATAAGTCCATGAGGAATGAATACTCTTTCCAGATCTTGAGCATAATGCTTAGGGATGCAGAATAAGTCCAGGTCATAGCCTGGTTCGTCATCTTCAATCTGAAAAAGAAAGTTTCCCAAAAATAAGAGGGCTTCACTAGAAATAGTACAGGCTGCTGACCCTAATCTGGGAATATCAGATCTTAGGCTAACAGTTACATGTCAAGCCACAAGAGTAACAAGAGACTGCAGTTCCCCCAAGGTCCTAACTTATCAGTCTACAGACAAATAAGAAGAAGCACAGTTGAGGCCTGAGCTTAAGTCTAATCGCCAGAAATTTGAAACTAAAGCATCTGCTGAACATTCATGTTGCCCATAATTGATTCCTCTACTGCAACTTGGAAAGAATGGAGTTGCAAAGTCATTGTCCTAAAACAATGGAAAATGAATTACAAAGAACAAGCTTGTCTTTAAAGAAGAGACCTCTGTCCTACCACCCTTCATAGAGTTAGGGGGTATAGAACATTACCTATAATGTCCTCCCCCCCCCAACATTTGATCAGTTTTGCTTAAAAAAAATTTTTTTCCTTCCCCCTTTAAAACAATTTTTTGCTCTGCAAGAAGGTTCCCTGGGAGGAGGACAAGGGAATGATACAGAGGGAAGGAAAATTTAGATGGTATAAAAATGAAATATATCAAATGTCCCATTTGGTTGTCTTTCACAGCCATTTGTACTCACAAAATCCCAGAATGTCAAATCTGACTTTCCCCATTTCCCTGGTCTGGGTAGGCTCCTAGGCCCTTACTGTTTCTGCCAATAATATCAACCACAGCAAAGGCTCCCCTCCAGCTCTGAAACAGGAAGGGCAGAGCTTTTCTTGGAAGGCACAAGGTTAGGGAAGTAAGGGACCATGAGTGATTGGCCACAGAGCAATCTCAGGAAATTAGGAAGCTACATTTCAAGCTAACAAAATTGCAGAATCTGTCTCTGAAGAGATCCCATAGACCATCTTGTCTAAGCTGAACAAGAATCCATTCTACAACATACCCAATTAAGAAGTGACCACTAGCCTCTGTTTGAAGACTTTTACTGAAGGGGAAACTATTATCGTCCCAGTTAGCCCCTCCCGTTTTTGGAAACCTCTATTAATAAGTTTTCCCCAAATTCAACCTGAAACCTGCCTCTTTTTTCAACTTAGGCTCATAAACCTAAACTGGAGAAAGAGTGTCAGAGGTCATTTGGTCCATCCAACCTCCCCGTCATGATGCTGCCTACAGCCCAGCACAGGCCCTTCTCACCTCACCTGGACTATTCCAATAGCCTGCTGCTTGGTCTTCCCGCCTTAAGTCTCTCCCCACTCCAGTCTACCCTCCATCCCCTAGCTGTCAAATTAATCTTCCTAAGGCATAGGTCTGACCATGTTATACTACCCTCATCCTACAAAAAAAGTCCAGTGACTCCCTAACACTTCCAGGATCAACTATAAAATCCTGTTTGGCATTCAAAACCTTTAATGTAACTTGGCCTCTCCCAGCTGTACAATCTTATGGTTTACTCATTGCAACATACTCTGGAATCCAGTGACACTGACCCCCTTACTGTTCCTCCCACATAATATACTCCATCTCTGACTGAATTTTTACTGGCTATCCCCTTATGGCTCTCTCTCCTGGCTCCCCTGGCTGCCTTCGAGTTCCAGATAAAACCTCACCTACACTAAGCATTTCCCAATTCCCATTAATGCTAAGTTCCTTTCTTCTGTTGGTTTTATCTATTTATCCTGTATGTATCTTGTTTATATGTAATTGTTTGCATACTGTCTTCTCTATTAGACTATAAGCTCATTGAGAGCAGGGACTGTCTTTTGCCTGTCTTTGTCTTCCTAGCTCTTAGCACTGTGTCAGGTACCTATGACAGGTACTTAATGAATGCTTGTTGACCAACTGACTGGATGGAGTGCTAGATTTGGAGTCATGAAGATTAGAGCTGAAATCCTACTTCCCATAGCTACTTCCCCTTACAAAGAGTGATTAAACAACAACGGGCAATCTGGTTCAGTAACAAGGCACCGACACAAGACTCTACCCCCTCCCGGTTTAATTTTCCAACCAAATTAAATTTCCTCCCTCTCTACTTGTGAATTCACCTTTGGTGATGAAACTTCGGGCATCTAATTATAACTTAATTTATATATTGATTTAAGCCCACTCTCTGCAATGCCATGAGGTATATATATAGTAAAAGGTTTACCCTCTGAATTTTACAGGGTGATAAAGAAGGCTCAAGAGTTTGTGACCTCTGCAGCCACACAACTAATGGTACCAGAGCCAGAATTGGAACACAGGTGTTTCCTAATACCAAGCCCAACCCTCTCTCCAGGACTATGCCGCCTCTGTAGAATATGAGGAGCCTGCTTAGACCAACCATTGATTAAGGGCCAACTACGAGCCAGGGACTTTTGAAGGTGCTGAGGATACAAAGACAAAACCCAAACTAGTCCCTGCCCTCAAGGAGCTTCTATTCCATCGACGGGAAAATGTACATTTAAAATTCAATATAAAACACAGGAAGTTAAGAAAATAGGAAATGTACGAGTATTACATCAGAGTGGGGATACCTTTTATGTATGGGATGGGCTAGATGGCCCAAGGTCCCTTCCAATTAAAATTCTGTCATTTTATGGTCAGATCTGTGCTTCCTCAGTACAGAGAAGCCCAAGTTTGAAGAGAGGCAGTGGGGGGGGGGGGAGGTTGGGGAAAGAAGACTGGATTTGGAATGAAAATAACCGAGTTCAAATGCCACCTGTCCGACATCTTAAGTGTGTGCACAGGTGCGCATGCTCGAGAGTAGCTGGGCAAACTGCTTAACTTCTCGGAGCTCCAGGTACTCTGTTTATAAAATGGAGATAAAGATGGGCCAAAAAATGAGATGAGAGCTATGAATGCATTTCACTAACTGCAAGGTGCTATACAAAATAAATGTTATTAATTAATTAATATCATCTATAATTTTGTAAATGTTAATTAGCATTTGGGATTATGTTCTTTACAATTTTGTTAATGTTTCAAGGAACCAATGAGATAATGATATAAATGCATTCCATTAACTACTGCACAGTGCCACACAAAATAAAAGAGCATTGTTAGCAATTTATTAATATCATCCTTAACAACAATGTTAACAATAATAAGTAGTTTACAGGACTGCTTTGAGGAGCAAATGAGAAAATGGCTATGAATGCATTACATTAACTGCAAGCTACTATACAAAATAAAATAACGTTGTTATTAGTTCATTAATATTGTCCATACAATTTTGTCAATGTTAAGAACTAGAAATTAAGATTGCAATCTTTACAATTTTGTTAATCTGAAGAGCACATGATAGAATTAATTTTATTAACTGCAAGGTTCCATACAAAATAAAATAGGATTGTCATTAATTGTTAATATTATTACTATTAAAATGTTGTTAAGGTGTTTTTACCTTTACAATTCTGTTAACATTAAAATTAGTTTATTTGTGTTTTTTTTTAACAATTAGTTTACAGAATTGCTGTGAAGAACAAATCAGACATTGGCCATGAAGGCATGTTGTGAACAGCAAAGTCTTAATATCTTTGTGATTTTGTTCATGTTAATACCATTTGGGATTATGCTCACTAGCTGCAAGGTGATATACAAAACAAAATGGCATTGCTATTACTTTCTTAAGCCAATAAACTTTTGTTAATAATTATAACATTTATGGTAGGGCTCTATAATGTAAAGTTACAAAGGATATAGGATTGTGGCGAGGTAATGTGGTGAGATAATAGCCAGGAATACATTTCACTAACTGCAAAGTGCTAAATAAAATATTAACATGGTTATTAAAATTATCTTTTAAATTTTGTTAATGTTAATAACTAGTATTTTGGACTGTGATGTTTACCACTTTAAGGTGAAGAGCACATGAGATAACAACATGAATTCATTTCATTAATTACAAAGTGCTACACAAAATAAAATGGCATCATTAATTTATTAATATTATCCATAATTTTGTTTCTGTAAATAATTAGTATTGTGCTCTTTATAGTGTTGCTAACATTAACAATTGCTTTATAGTATCTCAGTGAAAGGCAAATGAGATAATGGCCACAAATGCATTTCATTAACTGCCAAGTGCTAAAACAAAATAACAGCATTATTATCACTATCTTTGTGATTTTGTTTACATTAATAATTAATACTTAGGATGGTGATCTTTTCAGTTTTGTTAATGCAAAGAGCACACAATATAATGATATGAATGCATTTCATTAACTGGAAGGTGCTATACAAAACAGCACCATTAACATCTTTATAATTTTGTTAATGTTAGTAACTAGTATTTGGGATTGAAATAGCTTTACAATTTTATTAATAATGACATGAATCCACTTTATTAATTGCAAGGTGATATTCAAAATAAACCAGGATTGTCATTTAATTTATTAATACAATTTTAAATAATCTTATTAATGTTAATAATTAACATTTAGGATTGATCTTTACAATGATGTTTATAAGATCACTGTGAAAAGCAAACAAGATAATGGCCACGAATGCATTTCATTAACAGCAAAGTCTTAATAGCTTTGTGATTTTGTCAATGTTAATAACTCATATTTAGGATTGTGATCTTTACCATTTTGTTTAGAGATGATGATATGAATTCAGTTCATTAACTGCAAGGTGCTACACAAATAAAGTGGTGTTATTAGTATAATTTTGTTAATGTCAGCTAGAAATTAAGATTGTGATTTTTACATTTTGTTAATGTCAAGAGTAAATGTGATAATATACATTTATTTCATTAACTGCTAGGTGTTATACAAAATAACATGGCATTGTTATTAACTTATTATTCTTATTTTTATCAAAATTTTGTTAATGTATTTTTACCTTTACAACAGTATTAACATTAACAATTAGTTTACATGACTGTTATGAGGAAGAAATGAGACAATGGCCATTTCATTAACTATAAGGTGCCATACAAAATAAAATGGCATTATTATTAACTTATTAATATTACCTTATAATTTTGTGAATGTTAATAACCAGTATTTAGGACTGTGATCTTTACCACTTTG